TCACACAGCACAGCAGGGGTCGGTGCTGTCCTGTCAGCTGCATAGAGATCCAGAGTTGTGTCTCTTCTAAATATAAGGCCTGGAGATCCAGTGGGCGGGTTAAGGTAAATCCTCTCCGTGTTAGTTAAGTTTGGCACTAATGCGTATCCACTGAAGAGCCTGCCTGGTGTATTGGACTGCGTGAGCGATGCTACTGTGGAGAGTCAATGGCCCAGACAAAGTATTCAAGTAGTTGAAGAACTCTGTAATGAAAAAGGGAAATTGAAGATGAAACAGATTCACTTCACATGTAAATCTGTGAAAGAACATGTGTCTGTGTGTCTCAGAGGAGCTTCCCTACCTTTATTCTCCTTTGCAAGGTTGTCTGCCACCTCCCAGTACTCATAGCTGTACAGGACACTGTTGGTGATGTTCAGGTGGTTTGCTGCCATCTGGTGGATACGTTGGGGGATGCTGATGAGAGAGGGTAAGGTGCTGCCCCCATGTGAACCCTGTCTGAGGTGTTTGGCATTGGGTGAGAGTGAAGACGGGGGTCCTCCTGTACCCCTGGGAGTTAAAAAAAAACAAAACACATGTACAACAGAGCTGTGGCGGTCAATGAATGTTCAGTGGCTGCAGGAAGCAAATGAATTAAACAGAGAGCCTGTAATATAAAACTATTATCCACCTACTTCCCAGAGTCATTCCAGCCAGGCGGTGTAGAAGGCACTTTGGGAGAACTCTGTAATGACACAGTAAACAAAACTAAAAATTGTCCAAGACCAAATGTTTATATTCTGCCCTAAAAAATGTCCAGAAATTAAAAAACGACAACAACACTTCCTGTAAATGTCACGTCAGACTTGTTGTGTTTAGACTAACCTTAAAGTAGTCGAGCAGAACTTTGGAGTATTTCAGTGCATGGTCCTTCTTTAAACGAAACATTTGCCAGTAAAGGAGGGCAAGGCATCGGAAACTGTGGGCACACAAGCGCAAGTCAAAGAAACTCAGACGGACCACAAATCGTCCTCAAAATGCAGGTCCTTCAGCCTGATGATAGATGTGGCATAAACAGAGGAGATGACATACGCACCACAGGACCGCTAGCTGTTTGTCTTCCTGTCTCGCCCCAGGGCCGGAGTGGCTCTTCAGCCTCATCGCGTACCTTAAGACACAGGACTATTAACAATGGAGCGGCAGTTATGTATTATGTATATGTGTCTGTGAGTGTGTGTTGGTCTTTATGTCCTAAATCCACATTACTTGTATATGTTTTTGCAGAACTCACCTAATAAGCTCCACAGTCTCCGAGTACATGGTATACGGGGACTTTGCCTCTAGTGGCCCTTCCTCCATTGCTTTCCCACATTCCATGAAGGACAGAGCAGCGTCAATGTAATTTACAGCCTTCCCCAGCTTGTCCACCTGGAAAAAAGACAATAAACACAGGCAAAGATGGGAGTAAATATTAAAGTGATCCTTAAATATTTCAGTCTGAAGTTAGCTGAGAAGATATTCAAACTGCACACAGGAGGAAACAGCTATATCCTAGTGCCATCAAAGGTGCTCTCTAACAACTGTGTGGCTCTGCTCTCCTCCTCTTCATTCACATATGTTAAGTCTGCTGCCCTCACCTACGTTAGACTGGGTAGTGGGCAGCACAGTGGAAATATTATGTTTGAACCTTGGTGTCTCCCTGCGCAAATATTTTTCTAATTTAGAGCAGACAGAAGATATCTTTAAAGATGCAACCCACTGGATGACAGCTAGCCAACAAGATGTATATAAGGCAATTTTGGAGTACTTTGAGTGTGTATATTTTTACACTTTAGTCGTTTCCCCCTGCTTCCGGTCTTTGTGCTAAGGACCCAGGTGTGTAGGTGTTATCATTGATATATTGCACCAATATAATGAAACAAAAAAAAAATTGCATTTACCATTTCAAAAAAAAATGTACGCATGAATTTATCTTGTATTTTTGTTTAACTTCTCTAATTTAAAGCCCTAAATAGTCTTGCACCACAGTACCTCTCTTACTTCACACACATTGCATCTTCCCTGAAAACAAATGTGCTATGTAAATAAAGTTTTGTTTGCTTGCTTACTGAGCAAGTAGAGATTTAAATGTCTTCCCTGAGTGAGAAGGCAAATGCTTTGTCATTCAGTGATTGTACAACATCCCAGTTTTGCTTCACTGTCGATAATAATATTCAATGCAAGATCAAGGACTCACCATTGCGTCTGCACGGTGCTTTATTCTTTTGGCTTCATGTAAGTAGTACTCAGCATGGTGTGGACTAGGAAGATGGACAGAAACAGAGAAGAATAAAAAAAAAGAGCTGTGCACTCCCAGGTGTCTGGTGAGTCTGTATCTGACAGACATCAAGCAGTGTGCTGCCTATGCAGTGATGCAGTGTGTGGACTTTGTATGATTGCTCACGTTTCATGGTTTGGCACAGTCCCCCTGTGTCCTGCAGGGCCCCAGGACTCAGATGGTGGTTGGGGCTGTCTTGACACTTTCACACATTCCACCTCCATCTTGGGCTGAGCATACAGGTAAAAAATTGGTGAAATTAACCAAAAGTCTGGAAGCAATGGAGTTGGGATGGTATAAACAAGTCCTTTTTTATATTACCTTTATAGCAGAATCTCTATTCTTGTCTCTGTTCTTGTGGACGTGATGCTGCTCTGCCGTCTTTGTTTTGCAGGGAGGCTTGGTGGACTCGGGGCTGTCGGACAGTGGAGACAGGGGAGACAATGGCCTCTTGCGGTCCAAGTACTCCTCCAAGTACCTGCAAGCACACACAACCACACACAACCACACATGTACATTGACACAAACACACATCAAATGGCATGTAAATATAAATATGCTTATTGTAATTGTGAATAGAGTATGATTGCACATAGGACAGAGTGGTGTGTGTGTGTGTGTGGTGTTTTCTTACCCGTTGTGCATGGTCTCCGTCACAAAGTTGTGCTCAGCTGTGTGAGGTGAAGACTCATTTGTAAAAGGAATACTTCTCTTGCTTTCTCTGTTTGAAACACCATTCTCCAACTGGGCACAGACAAACACACATGCTGTTAACAACAAGGCTGAAAACGTGTACCGATACACATCCAATTCAACAGAGGAGAAAAGTAAATACACATCCCAGTCTACCTTGCGTTTCCTTTTGTTGTCTTTTGTCACAGTCTCAGGGACGTACAGGTGTTTCATAGCCTCACTTTGCTTGTCCTTGGTTGATGAAGAAGAGGAGGAAGAGGAGGGTTTTTTAACAGCAGGGCTAGTAGTGCTGTCTGGGACTCTTTTGAGAAGACAGAGGTCTATCTGCACCACCAGATTTCTGAGCCCTCGCTGGGAAGACGCTGTAGCCTGTTCACCTCGCCCAAACGGGACCAGGGTGTAGAGTTTTTGCTTCCCCTCGCTCTGCTGCCCCTCGCTTGGGTTACCTGAGGCGGGTCCTCTGGGGTGCACCGCCTTCGGCCTGTTGGCGTCAGTTGTGCCCGGGCCTTGTTGCCCTCTCTTGGTGAGTCTCTTGTGAGAGGTAGAGTCTGCTCGAACTTTGGTGATCGGAGCCTGACATTCAGACTCTGAATCTGAATTTGAAGAGGAGGAGGCAGAGGATGATGAGGACGCTCTACGAGGACTTGGGGAACGTGACGATGAAGGCGAGGGGTCTTGCTGTAACTCTCTCTCCTCCTCACTTCTGCCTGCCTTTTTTGTCCTCCCCCGGTGGTGTGAGTCGTCTTGAAGGCGGTGTCGCTGTTTGGCATGGACTGTTTGCCATTCGCGTCTATGTTGCAGCTCCCTCCTACTGTTTTCTCCTCTTGCTGTCTCCTCTCTCTTCCTCTGCCTCTCTATCACACCCTCTTCCTCCTCTTCCTCCTCCTCTTCTTCTGCCGAACTATGGATCCAGGGACGTCTCAGTAGCTGCTCCTCCGCCAGCCTCCTGTCTTGCTTTCTTTCCGGTTTCCCTTGTTGTTTTTCCCTATGTCTGTCCTCTTTTCTCTCCTGTTTTCTCCCCTCTGCTAGGGACAGATGATTTCCTCTGTGTTCCACCTCTTGGTCCTTGGTCTGGGGCTTCTTCGGTGTTGTTTTTGTGGGATTAACATGTACAGGAGTCGGGGCCTCCCAAGGCTTGGCCCTAGGTTTTAGGCTAGGGTTTGATCTAGAGTTCAACCCAGTGTTAGAATTAGTAGCAGCTTTAGAGGTAGATTGGGAGTGAGAACTATGACCGGGGTTGGTTTCGCGACTTGTGGGAACTAAGTGCTTTGCTCTTGTGGGGCTTTGTTGTGAGTTTGACTGAAACGGAGGCCTGGGTTTGTGTTTGGTTCTGTTACTCTGGATTTGCTCAAAATGTGGGGTGTGCTTGGCTTTGGGAGCCTCAGCGAGCTGTTTAGAACTTGGATGAAAGTTGGGCTTGGGTCTAGATTTGTGGCTGTGACTCTGGTTCAAGTTTAAAACAGCAGAAGCCTTGGATTTGCTCTGGCTTTGCTCTTGATCCTGTGCGGGTCGAGTCTTGGGCCTGTGCTGATGAGTTGGCTGGAGATGAGTACTGTTTGTAGACTTGGTTTTGGCATCTGTGTTAGGCAATGGGGCAATCCATGACCTATTTTTTGTCCTGTGGGGATTGGTTGTTAGGCTAGGTTGTGTTTGGTTCTGACTCTTAACCTCGGGGTGGTGACGAACCCTGGAAGGAACTGGTATGCTGGGACTGGGGCTTCTTGGAGGGTCTCTAGGTATAGGGCTCGGGCTGCGGCTGGCTCTCGGGCTCCCATGCGGACTGGGACAAACACTTGGAACTGGACTGGGGATCGGGCTGTGCCTCGGGCTAGGGCTGGGACTTGGGCAGGTGCTGGGGAATGGGCTGGGGCTAGGGCAGTAGCTATAACCAGGACTAGGTAGGGGGCTGTTGTTGGGGCTGTAATGGAACTGTGGGCTGGGAATAGGACTTTGGCTAGGGCTGTATTCCCGATTGCTGTCCCAGGATCTGGCTGGAGATGGGGCTCGTTGGGTGTGAGGAGAGAGAAGGCACCCTGGATCCTGTTCACTGGCAGATTTTTTCCGGGACTTCTTCAGCCATTTATCCAACTGCCAGGCAGCAGAGGGTTGATCAGTCTTAAGAAAGCAAAAAAAAACAAAAAACAAAGAAAGAAACAAATGTCTTTGTTAACAGTGAGGTTTTGCACATACATGTCCAGCGGCGGAAGACGTCTAGGTAGATCATTTCTGAAGTAAAAGTGATAGTAGTTTAGTATGATACAATAATGTAAAAAAATATTCAAGTAAAAAGTAAGTAGTAAAGTAGGTGTATAGGAAGTGAAAGTCCAACATTAAAACTCAGAGTCAAACATTTTCAAAAAAACTAAACTACTGAAGTACCTAAGAAGTTTCCATTTCAAAGTTGTATAGACTATATTATTGGACAATCAGTACTGATGTATTAATATGTAAGTACGGCTTTATTGATGCAAACTTTTAACTACTTCATATACCGTATATTTACTATGAAAACAATCTGCGCTATATTTGGTTCCTCATAAAACCCGGTAGGGTAGTAAGAGTATGTCAGCCTGTTTTTAATTCAATAAAACAAATTAATTTGCATTGAAATCGACTCAAATATTATTATTTTGCTGGTGGATTGTTTGGCACGTTTCAATAATATAAGCCGTCAGGACTCAATAATCGACTACAATTACTTGATAAAAAGGAAAATTTTGCAAGGAACAAAGTGATCACAATTTAAAAGGTGATCATTTTAAAGGTGAAATATCTTAATTAATAGATAAATCGTAAATATAAATATAAATACAGTGAAGTAGAAGTATAAAGTAGCAGAAAATGAAAATACTCAAGCAGAGTACAAATATCTCAAAACTGTACTTACGTGCAGTACGTGAGTAAATGTGCTTCACTACATTCCACCACTGTACATGTCTTTTTATGTATTAATAAAGAGATAACTGGAAGCCAGCAGAGAATGCAGGATCACTTAGTGCTACATTTAACCATGAGACGACTGACACATATTTGTGTGTGTGTGCACATACCACAACACTGTCACACTGCCACAATAAAAACCATCTAAAATGTCCTACAGTCACTGCACATAACAAATACCTCACTGACTCAGCTGCTATTAAAACAGACTCCAAATGACAAATCTGGATCATGACTCACGTCTGAAAAGTATTCGTTCAATAAAGATTTCAACATCCTTTCAATAGCCTACTTACTACATGGTCACATAGTTCACATCTGTGCTTACAGTAGCTCAACCCCCATCCAATTATGCCAAATGACTCACTTAATGTTTGCTTAACAACTGTCTTGGTAACCATAAGAATGAGAAGAACACAGGAGAAAGAGTTTTTACTCAAGTAAAAAAAAAAAAAAAACAAAGAGGATACTCACGGCTGGAGAGCAAACTTCTTTCTCTTTCTCTCTCTCTCTCTCTCTCTCTCTCTCGTGTTCTCTTTTTCTCTCTTCGCTGACCAGGGGCTAAATTAAACCTCTACTCCTCAAGTCAAACAGTGACCCCCCTCCCCACATCCCTAGCCTAACTTTCCAGAGAAGACACTGCATCTCTTGTACCGTCTCGGTTGCCCTCCCTCCTTATTTTCTGTCCCTCCCTCTTTCTCTCACTACCTGGAACTCTGGATTTGTGGCTTCCATAACTCCAACCCCCTTCTCTTCCTTGGGAGACATTTAAACAGTCCACGTAAATGAAAAACACATGGTGTGCACCCCCACCCTCCTCTCCCACCTCCCACCCCTACCCCAAACACACAGTCGACTCCCTCCCTCTCTATAGGGGCCCAGTGTAGTGCGTGCTTAGTAATACAGTCCACTATGCCGTACAGGGCCTTCCATTCATAAAAGAGGAGCAGGTTTCCCCTTCATTCCCCACATAGCACACATCTCAGACTGACCCCCACAATGCCCCACACCTCCAAAAGCCCATCATACCTATCATGCTCTACACCCATTCAGTGTTTATTGTGCACTGTTGTTTTGAAAGAGAATGTAACTCTAGTTGTAGATGTCAACATGAACTCTTGAGTCTTGATGACTTCCACGTCCTGAGGGCTTTCCTCTTTAAGACTGGGCCTGTTGACATGACACCCAGGCACTAATTCCCAAAGCTACCTCAATCCACCTCCCCCCAATCCTCCTCCTCCTCCTCTCCAACGCACATGCATTCCTCATTCCTCTGCCCCCCCACCCCCACACCTGCCGTCAACTGGCCCGAGGCCACCACTCCCTGTAGAGAATTTACCCGAAGGCACACAAGCAGAGGAAGAGACAGACAAGCAAGACGTGGACAGAGAAGACAGAGAGTGGAAGAGGGAGCTGCGGCTCAGCGCTGATACCTCCTTGCTGTTGCGCGGCGGCTGCGTGTTGGCAGGCGACAGAGGATCTGGGTGAACTTCTGGGCTCCGGCTGGGGCTCCGGGAGTGAAGGCTACTGCTGCCCGACTCAGCAGAGCAGTCTGAGCCTGAAGAGTCCGAGCTGGAATGTCTCACCCGCCTGCCATGTGTGTGCGCTCGCTGTGCTGACAGACTGTCAGTCACACACACACACACACACACACACACACAAACATCAGAGAGGGGTCAGTGTGGGTACACAGCCGAGTGGAGCAGACAGATACTTTTGTGACATCCACAATTTAACTTGGTTTTCATAGACAAACATTCATGCAAAAACATCCACAATATGCACACATGATATTTGCATTCGAGTACCTGTGTCCATCCCAGGAAGCTGACTCATGAGTTGCCTTCAGGAACAGAAAACAGAAACAGAAGTCTAGTGAACAACTTGCTACACTGTGCTATCTCGGCTGCATGATGTCTTAATGTTATTAGTAGCAAATAAAGACTGGTCTTAACTGGGTGTGTACACCCCATTCAAGAATACCAGAAAAACAGGCATCTTTCAGCATGATGCCAAACGCTCTAGTCATAATCTGCGCTTTATCTTCCTGTCCTGTCACACTCTCTCTCACTGTCTGCCAGCCTCCTCAAGCATGCATAATAGCATGAAGACGTGTCCAGTTAAGGTCAAAACTGCTTAGTAATTGGTTAGTTTTTATTTCTGAGTCATGCCAAGAGTCCACCACACATGGGATGACAAGACACTGCTATCTAAAATAATACAAATACAAAATATCTTCCGGTACTACATATCCAAATTGTAAGTACTTTTATATACTTCCAAATAATATATTATTATGGAAGGCCTACAGTTTATCCTGATAAATATCCTGATTTTTTCTTCTAGGCTTTCTCCAAATAACTGGCTGATTCAATACAAAATCATAAACTGTTTTATCTCCCTAAACAATAATACTAATGTTATAACCACGAATAATGAACAATATTGTTAACAATATGATAATATTATCTTCAAAGCACCTTTACAGAGCGTTACCTACCCTTTGAATGTCGTCATCATCACTGCTTAGTTTCAGGTCATCAGCCAGCATGCTGTAAGCAAACAAACACAGAAAAATCACACATGATATCGACAGTAGTGGCGCCTGGTTTTCAACACGCCAAGTCTTCCTGAGAATGTTCCTTTTATCAATATCAAACATAGTAAATAACAAAATATGATATGTAGCAAATGTGATTTTCTTTTTCATTTCAACAACCTTCAAATCAAGAGATATTTATACATCTGATTTACTCTTAAGATATAGTAAAAAAAATGGTTTGGACAAAACTTGCAAATTTCACAACAGAGTTAACTCAATTCTCAAAGCCTAGCATTTTTTTCCATCTAAGATGTTAAGATGACCTATAATATACCAATAAAGATCCCTACTTTATTCAAATGCTCAATATCTTAATGTACTGTACGGATATATTGTTTTTGTCTTAATATTTCTCTTAATATACATAACTAAACTTACTAAAAGTACTCAATTTGAGAAAATAAATTCTTCCTCGAAAAGTTTTAGAAATGTTAACTGTCATAAAATTGCTGCGTTACATAACAAAGACTGTGTGCCAATGTGGGACACGCAGTTGGCGTACAACACTGAACATGTGTTTCACACTAAAAAGAGGATGTAAAGAGGTAACAAACAGGAGCACATCGGTCTCCTCTGACAGCATTCAAGAATGTTAACTGACCTTTGACCTGACCTATGTTATGCAGCCTGAAACATTGTGTTGACTGCCTCTATAAGTCAATTTCCATTGACTTTCTATCTCTATCATCAATGCTTTTTTCCTGTGGCTGCACAGACGATGATGTTCATGATTGGTATCTAATTTTAAAAAAGAAGAAAACATGAACTGTGTGTGATATATTATCTCGTCTGCGTGCGTGCCACAGCGGCAGTTCAGGTTTGATGACCTTTGGTGGATCGTGTTTCCTCATGTCCGACTTACGATTTGTGAGGTGCCACGTGAGGGTGACGGGTCATTCGCAGCTGAACATCCCCCCGACCTTACAGAGAGAGAGAGAGCGAGAGAGAGAAAAACCAGGCAAAGCAAACCATACATTAATACAGAACCACTTAAATGATTGCACATATCAGATAAGCAAACTTATTAGTCAGTGAACACATACTTTGTCTGTGTTGTGCACTCTGTAGTTTTGCTTCCTTGGGAAAGAGGGAGAAAAGACAGTGAGCAGAAATCTTTATTTACACTGAGAGTATAATGTCAGGCTTACAACAAACAAAAAAAATGATCAAAATCGATGCAGGAAAACCAAGATATCATCCTTTTTATTCTACGTATTCTTCTTCTTTGCCTACATTACCCACAGTGCAATTTGTGGAGATTCAGGTGTGCTAGTTGCGGCTAATGTACCCTCTAGCAGTTTGCCTCAAGTAAAACTTGGGAGCAGCTCCAGAGGTCTGGAAAGCTCACTTCTTTCTTTCACACCACCAGATGTTTTTCATTGTCAGTCTTACAGCCTTCAGCCATTTGCTGACTCAAATGACATCACTTGAGGCAATTTAGTTTTTTTAACATATGTATCCCCGAGATCTGTTAACAGACTTAAATATCTAATATTGGTGGAGTTCCGCTTTAATTTTCAAAACCAAACAAAAACACATACAACACACACACATACCTTAGAGTTGTAGAGGATTCGTTGGGCCTGGTCACCCCCTAATGCTTGCTGGGATGGCCAGGACTGAGTCATGTCCTGTGCAACAGAAAGGGGGGTCAAAGGTGAATAGTGAGACGTCGCTGTGATTGAGGGTCTTCACATGCAGAAACTCCTAACACCCTAAATCTGTCATTAGAACTTTCTTAATTTTTCATTTAGGAGTAACTTATCTCTCCCATTTCCACATGTACAGTGCAGAGAGCCTCACTGGACAGCTGACTCTTGTTATCACCACTGTTGCTCCCCACCAGGGGGAGTGTGACTGGGTACAAATATGGGTTAGTCTGGGTGTCTAGTGTGGCTGTAGGCTGCTCTGTGTATTACATGGTAGGTGTGGGAGTGTGTGCTTTACAGCTGTGTCAAGATTTTCTGTGCAGTCATTTTGTTTCTTTTCGATTGATCTCCAGCTGTATCTTTTTCCAGGAATTTCAAGTGTCTGCTGTGTTTTTGATCTATTTAGTTTCATTTCACTCTCCTTATCCCTTTTGGAGAGTGAACTTGTTTATGGTTCACTGAGTAGCGATCAAATTAAAGACTCTGGCTCTGGTGTAGCAACAGCAGCTCCATTTGTTTTGTTTGTGAGCCAATTACACAGTCAAATCTGAGAATGTGATCTAATAAACTTTGTTTTTCTTTAAAGGCATGATTTTGCATTCCAAGAGGATAGGTCTGAGTATCACTAAACTGTCGAGTTTTTAGTTTTTCAAAAGGTGGCAATCTCAAAGGAGTGCAATCAGTGAACCAGAACACAAGACAGCTTATCAAAACATTTGTTGCTCGTAAGGCCGCCCTAGGGAAACGAACATAAAAGACGTCAGGTGGCTCGGGCCAAAATAAGTAATCATCAGTACCCAGTGCAACAGTTAAAACCACAGTGTGGTTGTAAGGCACAAAAGCCAAGTGAAGAACGCACAACAGAGGTGGAAATTACGAATCACTTTGCAGAACTTAATTGTCTGAATTTTTTCGAGAAGACCTCGGAAGGAAGGAACTGAAAGGAGCACACACCAACCCCGAGCAGCTGCAGGAAACACTGATACAGCATCTGCACATTCAACTGTCAGTCCACAGGTCCTTTGTTGAGTCACTGCTGTGACAAACAGCACGTCAGCTGTTATGATAGACAAAAAGTGGTCCAACAAGGTTTATATACTACAGGTCACTGATAGTGCTGAAATGACTAGTCAACTAATGATCTTATAACAGAACATGTATTCTTAATTTTCCCCATTAATAAAAGAAAAATACCAAACAGTTTCTGGTTGAAATCTCATGAAAGAGAAGATGTTTGTGCTTCAAAAGTGAGTCATCGATACAGTAATCAATATATTCATTCATTGACACCAAAAATAAATTAATAAACTCTTGAACAACTGAAGTCAAATTTAGTATAGAAGCGCATATACAGAAGGAACGCCTAACCTCCGTGCAAAAGTTGACAGTATTTCACCTATAGGTAGCGCTACAGCAACATGATACATATTTATGAACATAACTTTCTGAGTCTCTACTGCGCATCCCTAATAATCCCACACATGATTATAGATATGTGGTGGATGCTCACAGAAGAGCGACAGTGTCTGTCTCTGTATATGTGCAAGATGGAGGAGTCTGTGTTGATTACACATGATTATACACCTGGACTATTATGAAGATTTACTCCATTTCTTATTTGTTCTCTCTGCATGTCACTCGAGAGGAAAGCAGCCACATGGAGTGAGCTCTGAATCCACATTACATCGTCTTTGCTGCTGCTCTGATTATAATCTCTGCTGATTAGATTGCCTGCAGTTACACTCAGACAACCCAGGCCTCATGGATGCTGACAAAATGGCCTGATTTTGAACCATTCATTTACCATGTTAGCACAATCTGGTTCCTCAGCTACGTCACAATGTGGAAGCATCAGTGTGTAATGTACATGTGTGTGACGATCACTGGGTGAGGGAGGGCATGAGGTTGCTTGACTGCTGAAACAGTGAGCATGCACTGGAAAAGCCTGGATCTGTGAGTGTGTGTGTGTGTGTGTGTGTGTGTGTGTGTGTGGGCTGTGTGCACAGAAGTATTTGTGGTAGACACCAAATTGAACTAAAGCTGTTAAGGTCTAAAGGATAAGTTCAACATTTTGAAAACATATGCTGTCTTGCTTTCCTGCCAAGATTTATAAATAAAAATAATAAAAGTAGCTGGTTAGCATAGCTTAGCTAAAAAGTCACTATGCTTGGCCGAGAAATAGTCCGGCACATTTTTACACTTCAGTTTTTGTATGCTTTACTTTTTTTTTTTTTAACTTATGTTTTTACATTTTTACATTGGTGCTAGTAGTTGGATCGTGTTACTTTCAAGCAGAGCCAGGCTTGCTATTCCCCAAAGTTTTTATGCTAAGCTAAGCTAAGCCAGCTAACTACAGGCTGTCACTTAATTGTTAGCGTATAGACATGAGAGTGGCATCTCAGCAAGAAAGCAAAGAAGCATGTTTCCCAAAATGTCCAACTATTTCTTTACTCTAATGGGAGTCTGCAAGAAGGAACGTTCCCAGTTTCATTCATTAAAATCCAACGGCGCTCATGAGATGACGAGTATAAAGCTTTTCTCTTCCTCCTCTCCTCTTCCCACCCTCTACAGTAAGCCCTTGGGGGGGCAAGTGTTTCCTCCCTCTGCTCATCCTTTTACTTCATTATCTCTCCTCCCTCAGTCACCAAGGACACAGCACCAACCCTCACCCCTTTCCTCCTCCAACAACAACAAGGTCTCCCAGGTGGAGCATTATGTATTGCTATCTTCCTCCCACCCTTCCACAATCCCATGTTCTCTATCTCTGTTCTTTTCCTCCATGCTATCTGTCCCACACTAGTGACAGGACATAGGGAGCAGCGATCCTCTGCATTCAAACATAACACCATAGGTAGAAATCTCCGGGCCACTGAGCTCAGACTGAGATATCTGTGAGATTAGTGCTGAAAAGAGTTGATTCATTGATTGGTTGATCAATTCATTTATCTGCGACAAACTCCTCAGGTTCCTGCTTCTCCAATGTGCGCATTTGCTGCCTTACTGTAATTTAAATTATGGAAAATTGAAGCTCTTTGGGACCGTTGGTCAGATAAAACAAAATACTTGAAGATGTCACCATAGATTCTCAATGGAGATTTTTTTTTTTACTACTTTCTAACATTTTATAGAAAAATAATCATTAGCTGCAGTCCTATGTCTGGTGTTTCCACCTCGAGACAAGAATCTTTAAAGTGCTAAAAATAACACCCACAGTATGACTCAATACATTTAAAGAGGGATGAATCTGAATTATGGCACACGTTTAATGTAAATGACTGCTACTGTGAACAATGTGAGCAAATTCCTTACCTCTAGAATATCTTTGGCACAGCTATTGTGTTGGCTTCTTGTTACCTGTGCAAACAGAAAGAGAGAGTCAATTTCAAATGAAAGCAACAGGAAGTTAAGACTGACAGATGATTGGAGGGAGTTTTGTAACACTTCAGAACGACAGACACGACTCCAGTTACCAACTGGACGAGCACATTGAGAAAAGAGCTGTTGTTGACTGTGCACACAAGCCAAATTTGAGCATCAAAACTGCAGTAAAGTGCAGTGCGTGTCTCATCTTAAATTTGTGCACAATTACGCACATTCAACAGCGAATACAGCCGTGCACACGTACTCACACACACGGCACATAAACCCATTCATTTCTTTCACCAGTCACTGCTCGAGATGTGAACTTTCAAAATACACACACGCACAGTAAAAACTTCACCTTCTGCACCCTGCTTCCCGCCTTTTTTTGCAGTAACAGTCACAACACAGCGTAGCACTTTACTGTAAACCTCAAAGTCTCGCACACACACACGCAGTAATTGTGAGTTGTGAGGAGGTTGAAGCTCGTTGATGACTCATATCTTAGAAATCACAGCTGCAGATGATCAGACGGATGCTGATTCTGTTGCAAGCAACTTTCTGTTTCCATCCACATTAGGCAACCCCACTCTCTCTCTCTCTCTCTCTCTCTCTCTCTCTCTCTCTCACACACACACACTCTCTCACACTCTCACTCTCCCTCCCCCACGTTTCTGCCCCTTTTCACATTTTAGCTCACAATTCAAATTCATGGCATGAAAGCAGAGAACCGGGTTGCTCAACTAGTAAGATAAAAGGCAAATACTTGTGATGTGACTCGCACTTCCCCATCTGTGCAACTGTGTATCTATCTATATGTGCTGTATATGGGAGATTGTGTTTCATAATGAATTGTGTTTTTTTTAGTTTCTCATTTATAATATTATCTGTCAGGTTTGGTTTTTGTTTCACTCTTTCATTGTTTTGACATTCTTTATTCCTATATGGACCTCATCTGCTGAACATTTTTACCACTTTATACTGTCTGTCTACTTGGTTACAGACTTTAACATTTCTTTTACACATAGTCCATTTTCATTTTAGTGATTTGCTTCTTACTTCCATGCCCCACTCTGTCTTCTGTGCCATCTGTGCAGTATAAGTATGCACAGCAGAAAAGTGTGTAGTGCAGTGTGCGTGCGTGCGTGTGTGTGTGTGTGTGTGTGTGTGTGTGTGTGTGTGTGTGTGTGTGTGTGTGTGTGTGTGAAACTGTCTCCTCTTGCATGCATGACTCACTAAGGTCAGTGTCTGAGAGGCTGCACTATAAGCCTGCGGATGGTAAGCAGTGTGTGTGTGTGAAAACTGTCTGATTGTTACTGCCACAAGGCAGTTATGAGGCCGTAGGCACTACATGATAAACATAAACACAGAAAGCCAGTATTCTGCCTCCCGGTGGCAGGGCACAAGCTGAAAATCAGGCTTGCCTCCTCAGTTCTACACTAACAGGTCCATTAGTGTTGATATTATCATGTGCAGTGTGTTTCACACGTTCATGCCCACTAGCATCACAGGCTACAGCTCTGGTGCAATACCCTGATGAGTGAATTTCCCCCAGGGCCAAACAAACCACAACCCATCTTAACACCTGCAACAAGCAGCATGAGAGCCAACTAGACTTGTAACCACCTGTTACATTCTTAAAGTATCAGCAATTACTGAAGTTATGCTCGTTTTTGGGTTCAATTCAGAACTTCCATCTGTGTTCAGAGCCTTTAAGGAAAATCTAAAAAAGACTTTTAATCTGCAAATTGAATCTTAAAATGAAGATAGGAGAGCAAAATACACCACTCCGCAGAAACTACCCCCTCATTGTATTCCTGTAATCAGATGAAAGAAGGGTCATTCTTTACAAATAACCTGCAGAGACTATGTAGAAACGGAAAGTGACTTTAAACATGCACTTGTGCAAGAACAACATTCAAACACTCACTCAGGCTCAGCGACCCATCAATGCTGCCTAATACACACAAACATCATCAACTCTTCATCCTGTTTATAAGTCAGCTATATTCCACTCTCCATGCTACCTCTCACCTGAGAATATGCGCATCGGAGTAGAAAACAGACCGTGGAAAGTTTCCCTTTGCCACCGAGGACAGTAGGCATGGTTCCTGGATGTCAGTGCTCTCCTCCGGTGTCCATGCCAGTGAGGACTCGCGTCTGAGCGCAGCGGATGCGGGGCCCCTCCGTGGCGCTGGCAGACCGGCTCCTCTTCACTCGTGCAGCTGCGGGAGAGAGTGTGTGTGTGTCACTGAGGGAGACAGGGGGCGATGTAGGCGGGCCGGTAACGTCAGAGATGACACATAACGCAGCTCACGCAGGGAGATCACGACTCAGAGGCCCTGTGGATGCTCAACAGCGGGGCTGTTTGAGCTCTTTTCAAAGGCGTGATGAGGATAACACAGCTGTTAAGAGCCGCTAAATGCAGACTGTGATCAAGTCCCACATACAGGGGCGAAGCTATGAATTATGGGGCCCTTAAACCTGAATTAATAGATTATTTTTTGACCACGTGGGGGCGTCGCGACAGGTTCGAGTTATGAGTTAACATTTGAGTGTCACTTTAGGATGATATGTTAGCAAACAACACCTGCCTACACATTAAAGAGACACTGAGCACCAATAACACACATTAATAGTCATGTACGTAAAATATTCTCTTACCATTTACCTTTGTTTTAATCAGAAAATACCTGTATATTTAGCTGCTACCATAAATGTTCCACTATGTTAACTAGGTAGTTGCTAACTGTGTCTGCTGTTTGTTGTCGGGCAGGTAGCGTACAGTAGAAAAGGCACTTTCACATTATTTGTTGGCATCTGATCCATTCTTAATATAAAAAATAATTACAACAGAAATTACATCTTTCTCTTTTTAAACTGCATTTTATTTCAAACTTACACAATCAATCAATAAATCAAAGCCTGCAAATCAACACTTTATTCAACAAATAAAAGAAAATGTTTACTCTTTTTTTTGCGTTTCATACATCTGAGGGGGCCTAACCCACATGGCTTATAAGACACATCAGGCAAGACAAAAAAAATAGAAAATGGGCAAACATAGTACTCCATCCAAATAAGCCACATGTAAACTACATCAGATATAAACTTAAAGTAAACATGCAGCACTTTCCATATGTTGATGGTAAGACTTTAATAAAAAACTGAGCTAAGTCAAACACCTTGTACCCTTGTGACTAATATCTATCAGCATATGTATTGAGTTCAGCTGTGCTCTGTAAAAGTCAGTGGATCCCGATAAGGAACCAGCATGGGACTATAAAACTGTTTTACAAACTCCCCATTTAGAACAAACGAGTAGTGGACCTTGGGTTGATCTGGTTTCGTCAGCTGCAAGTCCTCGTGGCACTCAGAAACATGCAAAGCCCCCCCCCCACTAGAAGAAAGGGGACAGTTTTGTTTGTATGCTTCACTGCCTTTATTGTGTCCCTAAAGTAAAGAGTATATAGTAGTATGTAATAATGTAAAGCCATATCTAACAACATAAAACTGTTCTATGACTGAGAGCATAATGTGGGCCAATGACAAAACTAATGTTGTTGTCTCCCCCTGTAGACTACACCCCTCTACAGAAAGTGTATGTCTGATCTCCTTTCTAAATTTTGGCCTTGTGTGCTTGTCTAGTCCATCCATTATTCGTGCTTAATGCATTCTGGCGTGTGAATTGTCTCTGGGTTGCATGGATTTTGCCTTGTCATGATAAAATATGAGCTGTCTCCCTGGTTCAGATGGCTCTGGGGGAGGCTGAGAGAAGTGGGAAAGACGGACAAGGAGTTTGATATATTAGAGCACTGACTGAACTGATTTTAAGGAACGGAGGTGACATTGTGCTCCTTATAATCACCAAATCCCCTTTATAACACCAGCATGTTCTTTAGAGAGACAGAGAGGAGCATTTTCAATTGATCATATCTGGAATTTGGTTTTGGCTGCACATCACTGAGACCACTGTGTCCCTTATTTGTTTATGGCACCTGTCAAAGACTGAGCAGAGGGGCAGCCCCAGATAACTGGGTGACACCCTAAGATTTGATTGTGTGGATGGCTGGTAGTCCAGATGTAGAAACTCATTTAATCTGCAGTCTTGAAGATAGCAATGAAGACAAAAGGAAGATTGTGTGCTTGTGTTCATGACACTTTTTCACGGGTTTGACATCCTAACAAAAGAGATCAGTTTACAGTATTTTGCTCTTGACTTTTTTTGTCTTTTTGTTCTAGTTAATTCAACCTAACTTCATTGCATTCATTAATTCTCCTATGTTCAGTTAGTCTATCTATAATGTATGTGTGGGGGCACATATTTGTATCTGTGGCTTTTGTGTTTCCGTTTTTCATTGGCAAGTTTCATGTACTCTGTAAGTTTCTTTTTGTGTATTGACTCGTGAAAGTGTTCACATAAGATGAGCCCTACACTCACTAGAAAGATTAAAACTCTGACAAATTTTGCCGTTAAGGGTGTTGATGTTGTCAATAAGTGACCCTTGAAGTAAGGAGAACCTGCTGGGTAAGGCTTTCCCATTGACAGGGAAATAATTGCATTTTATATACTGGGATTAGTTCATCTTAACACACTGCTTTAGAAATTATACAATATAAGGCAATTGATGAAACAAGGAACAGCATAATCATTAGGCATTACGATAGATCCTCTGAGCAGTTGATGAAATTATGATGAAATAACATGCTCTAGCTGACGAGAGACGGACAATGACAGACACACTGACAGTCCTTCTATTGTTCACTACAGGGCTGTGCTCTGACAGGCACAGGTACCAGTCCTGTATAAATATAAGAACTTATTACACTGGCAAAAAATGTGAATATAACGATTAAGATTCAACAATTCATGGATAAGTCGATCTAAGGGAAATTAATGAACAATTAAGATAATCGGTTAATCATTTTTGGTGCTTCCAGCTTTTAAAATGTGAATATTCGATGCTGTCCTTCATCACATGATAGTAAGAGAGGTGTTTAATTATTTATTGTAATCCTTATTATAAATACACCAAGGTGTTCATTGAATCAACACCTCTATGACGGCCATCATAAACGTAGACATACTGGCAGAACAGTTGCCATTGTATGTGGCAGCCTGTCTGCTCTTATCTGTGGACTAGACTGACAACAAGTTACAGAAACTCTCATTCCTTCTCTGAATCTTTCTGTTTTCTTATGGATACTCACAAAACTAGGAAGCAAACAGAAAAGAGAAACAATATGTTCCTCTGGAACAGAATGTAAATGTGTGGATGAACTGGGAATGGAGGGATAAGAAATGCCTGGGGCCAGTCTCCACAGCCACACGGTAGCAACCTTGGTTACAGACCCATGGCGACAGGACCTCGAAGGCACAATGGCATCCCTCGACACTGCCTGTTTAGATCACTGCTGGCCTCAGGAGTCACCCTTCCTGACAACACACAGACTCCCCCTCTTTCTATCTATCTATCACACATCACTAAACGAGGAAGATGGAGATGGAGAGGTGTTGGGAGAGAAGGAGTAGGCCTGAGCTACGTTGTCTGTCCCTGCAGCTTGCTTTGGTTACCATGGAGATCCTGTGGGTATTCCAGATTCCTGCAGGTAGAGAGGGAAAGGTAGACAATTTGTGACCACTTTCTTATAATAAAGCCTTATATGAGCTCCTTCTTTCTTCAGGCCTTTTTCATTGTGTCATAGGTGTAGTTATAAGCCTTAAATAAGAACAACTTGTGGGTTGCCAGGTAAGGGAAAATTTGGTATAACTTTTTTGGTATAAAATGCTTTTTCTTGATTTCTCACCATCTAATAGGCCAACAGGTCTGTTGTTATACACATTAATGAAGTCCTTTATAATAATAATAATAATGCTAATAATGTATTTCACTTTCTAATAAGCCCACAAGAAATGATTTATAAAGCATTAGTAAATAAAGAACTGTTTATAAATTGTGCCTTATTAGAAAGTGGTAGCAACAGTTTTACCTTCACTTAATGTAAACCACACACTAGTAAAGACTACATACACATTTGTATTTAGTTTATATAACTGAAGAATTATTTAGATCATTAATAAGATTTTAAAGTACTTTTGAAATATGACTTTATTTTTATTACATATTCATAATATTGTAGCCAAAGGCTCCCGTTACCTCTGGTAAATGGATTAAATGCTTAGCAATCACTGATATATAGGTGATAGAGATTATTAGTAGGAGATAATTAGCTTGCTGCGGACTTTCTGTTTGTTTAGGTGCCTTATGACCCTGGCAGCACCCACACAGTGGACTATCAGTATACAGTGAGCAGTGAGCCCCACCCTCTGGCCAAAGTGAGAAGTGAGGTCTATATGAATGTAATATGATGTGAGATATGCCTTAAGGCTGCAACTGTTATTATTGTCATTATTTATTAATCTGTCGTTTGTTTTCTCAATTAATTATGTCTGTATAAAGGCAGGCGGGTGGGTACAGGTTGAGATAGCAGCTATGTTGAAAAGGAATGGATGATATGATATAAACTTTTTATCATAATATAGCTTTATATTATAAAGAACAGTGGTTCCCAACCATTTTCCACATGACAAATAAGGGAAAATAAAGTGATGTGTGCTTGTGACCCCACATCAGAGGTTATAGCCTTAGTCTAAACAGTCTTTCACACTGTATCATTTGAGGGATTTAGATACTGTTGGGTCTGGGTCAGAATGAGTTCTCTTTTTGATCAGAAGATGTGTCCAACATACAATTTTCTAAGTCCAAATTAGGTCTAAAAGTTATTCTCAAAGTTGGCAGTAGAATAGAGCTTTATTATCTTGACAGACAAACAAAGCCCGAGCCATCCATGGGAAGACTGAATTCATCCTCACAAAGCTTCTTCTTATATACTTTTGCCCTCTGTCACAAGTCCTGCCCACCTTCTACCTTTTCCATCCACGACATAATGGTGTATATCTACTTTGAAAAGACCCTAAATCTCCACCAGTACGTGGGTCCCAATTATTTTGCCCTTGTTGGGCCCATGCGCCATCCTAGTGGTTGTCTTATCAGCCCAATTATCCTGCCTTTGTTTTGCCCACGCTCCATCCTACTGGTGTCTTACTTGCCTGCCCCATCAGGCCTATGTTCTTATCACAGAACCCACAGGCTTCATGGCCTACACTAGTAGGCCATGACATTTTCTTTTGGCTCTCCTTTCTTCATGATTACACCATTAGAATCTAGTTTGCTGTACTTCTATTTTTTAAAAACCATTTATTTTTTTCCTTATTCTTTTCCTTACACCATTATGTCACAGATGTCTTTTACTGTATTTTTTAAAAACTTTATAAACTTTATAATATGATAAGAAACTTGTGTTACAACCACACATACATTTGGTATAATCAGTGCTCATTTCTAGTTATGATAAGAAAACTTGTGTTACAACCACACATTCTATATGTTCCACACATTAAATCAAACTTTTACTAAATAACCATGGTGCTTACTACTGATAAGAAAACTTGTATTTGTGCTTATCATGAAATCATATAAACTTAAAACATATGCCTTCATTAACATCCTTGTGAGCTTATATAAATCTATTCTACTTAACACTCAAAATCATCATTACTTAAAACATAGTGCTCTCTACTTGATTTCCAGTTATCTGTGTGAACAAACCACAGTGCATAAGAAAACTTTTGTGTGATTATTGTGTGATTAATTGATTACTAACTTATAATATGCACTAACCTACTTATAATATGCACTAACCTACACAAAATTTTATACTACAATACCTAAAGTGTGAAAGATGTGAAACTATCCCTTTTTAAAAAGATCTTCTGGCCTCTCAGATTTATCAGGTTGGGAACACTTCTCGACTTGAGAAAGAATTAACAGTGATACGTATCTGGTTAAAGCAGATCTTCACGACTCAGTGCTCAAATCCAGCTGTCTTGACTGAAACATTCTGCCTGTTTTGTGTCACAGTTGGTAAAATTGTACCTTCAAAATGTATCCGAATTTAAATACAGTGTCATTTTCAAGCTGATGCTCTATATCTGACTTCATCTGCTCTGCTGCTTTCTCCTTTTGAACTGAGGCCCATCAGCAGATAACAACAGATAGCCTGTGGCGTGGTTATAATAAACGGATAAGAAAGAGTAGGATATGCAAAGCCACGCAGAAAAAGCCTATTCATGTCATGCTGAAGTGCCCTAACAACTGCCTGGACTGGCTTGTCCCTCTTGTGTGATGTCATCCAATGGATGAGTGGCTGGCGGCTGCGATGCGCATGTATGCAGTCCACTGCCTCAACGCATCACAGAGCCGCACTTGACAGCTTGCCAGGTTAGAGGGGGGGTGGGGGGAAACACACCATTCAAGGGAGGAAACCAGACCTGCTGAATTTCCAGCAGCCAGCCGTCATCCGCATCCAACAACCCCGAGGTAGAGGGTTTCCCGCAGCCTCTCTCTCTCTCTCTCTCTCTCTCTCTCTCTCTCTCTCTCTCTCTCTCCATCGACATCATCATTTTTTTATTTTTTTTTGTGGATTAATCAGGTTCCTGTTCTAACGCACAGATGACAGCGTAACCGGGGCAGCAAGCTGTTAGGAAACCAAACACAGCCGCTTTGTTGAATAGGATCTGTTGTGACTGGACATGAATTCGGCGGAACAGACGGTTACATGGTTGATTACGCTCGGGGTGCTGGAATCGCCGAAGAAGACCATCTCGGATCCTGAAGCGTTTCTGCAGACCTCCCTGAAAGATGGGGTGGTCTTGTGTCGGCTGCTGGAGCGGCTCAGCCCGGGGTCCACGGAGAAAGTAAGGGCAATAATACACCCCCCCACCACCACCCCCTCCCCTCCTCTCTCTCCTCCTCTGCATACAACCAGCCGCCCGCCCCGTCGGCGTGTCTGTGTGCTGCCCAGATCCGTGAAACCGACGCGGTTTGTTGTCTGGCTTCTCTTTCTGCCCAGTGGTCCATGAGGCGATTTCTTTTGTAGGTCACGGCAGCCCGGGTTATTGTCTGCGGGGACGGCGCTATATGCTCGCACACACGTATGTCAAGTCGTGCGTAAAGAGAAAGGCCGTTGTTTTCCACCGCGTATTGATCTGCTCTAGATAAGGCAACAACACAACAAACAGAAAATTGATTGATCAAATGGATCAGGAGCTAATAGATCCACTGGGTCTTAATAAATGAAGGCCTCGTTTAATATGCTATTAATGCAGATCTGCGTTATCGTTTGAAGCCCCTGTAATTTAAATGCGTCTTTAATCCAGGGCGATGTGGCTTACATGTCAATGTATTTTTTTATATATATATACACACACAGTATGATGAGCCAGGGATGACTGGGGTATCTGTACACAGACCACAGAAATAAGAGTGGGCCGCCATTGACTGCAAGGGCGCACATACAGAGATGGACCCTCTCCCCATTTAAAGGAACAGCGCAGTGTTTGTGTCTGTCAATGTAAAGCGTCAGCCACTTCAGACAGCTACCTTAGGGAGGCAATGGCTTCCTGAAAAGAGGCTGTTGTGCTCGGGGCTGCCTGCACATCCTCGTGAGCATGAGAAATTTGCCTGTTAAATGGCAAACAGGTTCCTCCATTCCCCCCCCCCCCACTCCGACAATGGGGTGTTGTTTCATTTGTATGACATAACCAAATGATGCTTCACTGTTTTGCATACATGAGAGGGTTTGCTGTAGGTTAAAAAGACATCCTCTCTCAAATGCTTTGAAATAATCTATATAATAATCTATGCTTGAGACAGCAAATGGGAGATATGTGCCTCATCCTGTGAAATCCAAATCAGTAATGTCAATATATTGCTCATCTAAATGATCTGCTGCCATCTCATTTGGGGAGGATTTAATATGTTTTATTGATTTTCCCAAACTGTCACGGGTTAAATGCCTCACAACATATTACAAAAATGGAGTTACGATACAAATTTAAATTGTTTTCCTTCCTGGTCAGAGAGGACAGCTTTCTGTAAGGCCAGTGGCCGCTTCGATGGAACCCCAGAGGCAAAAAAATGTCTTGAATAGATCTGGAGAGACAAAACTATAATTGTATATATAAACTACAGTATAATACTGTAGGCAGTCAGATACTGGATCGGGACTGGATTGGGACTTGAAATAGATATTGGAGAGTTTTAAAAAAACACTATAGTGATCTATTGCCAATATTCTTTTTTTCCTTAACACTTAATGTAAACACACATTTTTAATAAGGATCCCCATTAATTTGCTTATAAAATATATGTAGTGGGAGGGACATTAATAGTCATAATAATTCAGTTATCAGGGCACTCTAGTGGGAAGCTATGTAATGGCAACTGTTTCTAAATTAACCTCAAACATACATTTCTTGTTACTTATTGGTCGACACGCTGATATAATATATCTGTGATAAGCTAACATTGGCTGATACATCGACCTGTGATTTATCAGCCTTGCTATAAAAACTACTACTGTCACTACTTCTTCTATCTACTATTACTAATAATGCATAACATGTTCCCCATGTCGTGCTTCCCACTTTTCTTTCTTCCCACGTGTGCCTTAAAGGTCCAGTGTGTAACATTTAGGAGGATCTATTGGCATAAATTGAGTATACTATTCATAGATTTATTATCATTAATAAATAATCAGCTGATAATTAAGAATTGTTGTGTTTTTGTTATCTTAGAATGAGCCTTTTTCAACTACAGAGGGAGCCAGTCCTTTTCTACATAGTCCACCATGTTGAACCACCATGTCTCTACAGTAGCCCATGTGAATGAAGTTCTGCAACCACCATTGATTCCCCTGCACACTTCAAAGGGCGAGGTGTATTCAGTTGGTTGCCATCTGCAACTTCATGGCTAGATGCCACTAAATTCTACACACTGGTCCTTTAAATACCTGGGCTAGTCATTCATTGGCTCATCATCTGGCTCTTTTCACTTCGATCATTGCTCTAAGTGTGTGCAGCACTGTATGTGGGCCAGAAGGAAGTGGGAATTGGGGGTCACAGCCAGAGGTCAGTTGTTATTAGGGTAGATACCAGAGCTATTTAAATTTACTCTATCATGGTTCTTTCCAATTAGCTATAACCGGTCTCTTCCTCCCTCACTTGCATCTCTTCGTCAGTTCTTCGATTCCTCCCACTGACATTTTGATGGAGAGAAGGTCATGACGTGAGGATGGTTGACCTTCCACCTGTATTATTCACTTTTAACCAAAGGCTATACTTATTTTTAACAATGACACACTCTTTTGAGTGCTCTAGTCTGTATTAATCTCTAAATGCTACGTGCACACTTCTTGCCCGGGACACACTTACACGACAAGGCCTTCTCAGTAGCAAGAGGTAAAGTGGGAAATATATGACAAAATGAAATTGAGAAAATTAGAAATTCGTAGGATAATGTTGTGTGTTGAGTGCAATGGAGCAAAATATGAGCAAAATGTTTTGAGGAAAATTGTGAAGAATGAAAAGTGTGAGGAAATACAAGATATGTTCAATAAAATAGGAAAAAGGGAGAAGTGTCAGCCCTGCAGTAAGGGTTAGATAAAGACTAAAATCATGGGTTTTGAGGTGTATTACTTCAATCGTTATATACAATATTTTGTATACTGGTCACCAATTAATCTCAGAGTTCTATATTTGTCTTATATAAACTTATCACAGATATATATCCGTACTGGCATTGAAAAAGCTATTGCATTGGTGGCATTGGCTCACTGAACATCCTATGTGGTGTGCACATTTAAACACAGGATCCAGAAATCAGTTCCAACAGTTTATTTCAGTCTGTGGGTAGGTCATGGTTTGCACAGGTATTTGGTGGATGTCGATGTGGAAAACTTTCTAGAATACAGCATAAACACAAACTGTTAACCTCAAACAGTATGTAACACATTAAATCCTATTTTAAAGGTGAAAAAGTCCATGATAAACAACAATATATCTCAGCCGATAAGTAAAAATAAAGTGCTGTACAGAAAGGTCCTTATGTTTTAGTTTAAAAAATGAATGTTGATATTGGTATCTAGCTACCCTAAAATGTGTTTAATCAGCCTGGCTGTAATAAATGTATATACTCAGTTGCCAGTTTATTAGCTACACTTAGCTAAAACTAATCCTAGTCCTGTAATAAATTAACATTTTAAAGGGTGAATTAAACTTTATGCTTACATAAGGCTGAGAGGTTTATATCAATGAAGGTAAAATATAACGACATTTTCTTTTACTAGTTTAGCCCTCTGTTGCAGTAGGTTGTAATGAAGACGAGTGCACCCACAGACTCCAACCAACCACCAGTCTGTGGGGATCCTTATTTGTTGACGTCATTTCCCTCGACCCAGTACTACAGCCTCCTCCACTTCCCCGCTGCGGGATCTGAGTCCAGCCTCCCGGAGTGTGTCAGGCCCACTGGAAACACACACACACACACAAAACGTAGAATGAGTGTCGATAAAGAAGAGATATTTACAGGGCTTAGAAACTCACAGAAAACCGCAGTGTGAAAAGCGAGAACCCCCCCCCTTCCCCAGCAGCGGGAAGTGGAAGTTTATCCCTAACCAGCGTTTCCGTCTTTCCAGATTTACCAAGAACCGAAAAACGACGGCGAGTGCCTGCACAACATAAAGGAGTTTCTCAAGGGCTGCACATCATTTCGCGTCGAGGTAAGTACATTTCCCCACATTGGGCATTAATATTGCCTGTGTACCACACCCGTCCGCGTATTACAACACCGAGAGTTGCTGTTTGAAGTGTAGAGTCGGCTTGTTTAAGAGGAGCCACTGATACAATAAACAATGGGTCCGTGGAGCGGACGAGCCCCTGACAGAGGGAGGAGGAGTGAACCACAAGCCGAGAACAATCACCCATCGCCCGGCTCGGAGAGGCTGGCTTGTCCGTCCAGTGTCGAAACATTTGTAACATTTCGGCAACCTCAAGTAACAATAAGTGATAAAACTACTACACTGTAGCCTGCTCACGTCTCCCACCTTTGTTTAGAAGCGCCCGGGTTAATGTTTACGCTTTTTTAATTAATGCAGAGCTTTGTCCTCGGGGCTCATGCGTGGCTTTGTTGTCACCACCAGTTCACACTAGCACCTTTGCATAAACGCTTATTTTTTTTTATGTTAAGAACAAATTTCCCACTGCAGCTTTGCACAATGTAGGAGCACGGCTATCTAAGTAGGTCTTGTTCTAACATGGTAATTACAGTCTCAGAGGAAGTCTAAACATGTCCACAGATGAAGTACCTCACCCTTGCAGGCTGCATGTAGACATATTTCAGTATATTGTGGTTATGGTTAGTGAGAAAGCCTCCTTAATCTTAAGCAAATGGAGGACGGCGTGCTGTTAAAGGCGGTGTGTGCTGGCCAGTGCATAGAGGGGTCATTGAACCAGCCTAGTTTGACAATACAACTCAGTGTTCCTCAGCGTTAACTCTCCTGGCCGGGTCTCCAGCCACTGAACAAGAGGTGGAGATGGGGTGAGACATAGCGCTGTCATATTAAGTGTGTGAAACGAGACATTTTGCAGTTACAGGCAGCTGAAATGCCAGAGAGGCAAAATCCATCCATTATGATTTCATTGGAAAAGGCCTCTGTTTGTTTTGGCTCCATACAGGGACAGGTTCTGGCAACAGTTTGGATCAATAATATTCGGTTTTATTGGTAACAAATAGTCAAATATGCCCATAATATCAGCTCCTTCATGTCATGCTGCCTTCGTCCTCGCGTGCAAGAGTGCATTCAAATTTACATGATTTTTTTTGAGTGTTCTGGACAGAGCAGGATTACAGTAGTTTGGGACATGGCAGTCCTCCCGCTCACCATCTGTAGAGCAAAAAGATGGATCTTCTCCAGAGCCCAGAGCACTGCTGGCTCTGACCCCAGGTAGCTGTGGCTTCAGATTAGAGCAGTGGCTTCAGATTAGAGCATTGGCCTCTTACACGAGAAAGACCGATAGACGCTGTGCTTTTACAGTCCTGACCTACCTCTTTCTAATGGAGTTAAGCTGAATGTTTTGGCTGAGCGTTGACATTCTAGTCTTGCTCTGTTTGCAGGTGTCTGTCCGGGACATTTCAACAGGAGTGATCTGTTTTAGATCTAATTTGGATACCTCTCGCAGATTAAACACTCCAGACCATGTCTCACACTTGGGCAGCTGCTGTTACTGACCCTTAACCCCTAATGTCTTTGACCACAGGAAGTGATCATTAAAGTTTCCCATGACCCCACAGGTCCCTCTGGAATAGTAACCTTACACTGCGTCTACCCTGAGAGTAATCACAGATCCATCTCTCGACTAATGGGAGACTTTGAATCCATTGCCATTATAATGAAAACAAGAAAAGGCTTGTTGTATTGTATAGCTACCGCAGTAGACATATAGTACTGTTAAAGGGGTTTGTATGTGTGTGTGTCTATATATATATATATAACTGTTTAATCTGTGCTATGTAAAGTAAAATAGACAAAACTGCCTATCACCATCCAAAACAGCAGTTGAAAACCCACAGATTTTCAATGTGAAATAATATTTATCCCAGAAAAACAGCGAATCTTAACATTTGAGATTTGAGAACGACGGTAACGATTAATCAACGATAAAAATTGTTACTGAATAATCTAACGGGCTCCAGTTGGCTCTTTATACTAAAGCAGGTTGGATTCAAAGTCCTGAATTTTGAGCTTTAATTTGAGTCAAATCAATATCATAGCCAAGATTTAGATTAGTTTATATTAGACTGGCTAATGTCTGCTACCCGTAGACATCCGCAGCTGTTCTGGCGGGAGCCATTTTCCTCAGAGCTAGACAGATTAATTGGACCCATACATCAAATCAGATTTAGTAAATTGTCAAATATCCATAGTGCCGTATAAAGCCCATTATTGGTTAGGCTATAATCTTCAATTCTTGCCCGTCTCTGGTGCTTTTGGCCCTCAGTCTTTAGCGACTGCAACATGTGATCAGCTGGATTGAGGTCAGGTGACTAACTTGGTCAGTGAAGAATATTGCCACTGTTCAACCCTAAAGCAAATTGCTTGGCTTCCTTATCTGTATGTCTAGGATCATTATCCTGTTGCATTGTCTGTACCTGGTGCAGACAAAATAATTAATATTTCAACATAATGTAGTGCATTTAGGTAATCTCTTACTAAGACGTCTGTGTAATCGTATCCCATTAACTGTAGTGTACATGCACTAGTAGGTTGTAATACCCTGTGCAGGTAAACACTCATTTCCTCAATCATGACAAGTGTGAGAGCAGCTCAGCACGCTGTTGTAGCTTGCTGAGTCACAGAGGGGTGTTGCACTATTGTCTCAGCCTGCTCCGAGGGATCATTACCTGACTGTGATGCTGAGGCCTCGCGGACGTGTCGAAGCTTGTCATGTTAGTCATGTTCATCATCTCCATGCGTGAATGTTTAATTTACATAATTCATCACGCTTTACTGTGAAGACTTGTACCTTTTTTCCCTAATGGACAATCTGTTAAAATGACTGAGGGAGAACTGCAATGTTGCAGTTATCATGGGAGAGAAAAAGGTTAGATACAAGTACTAAATGTTAGTTGTTGTTTCAGTTCCAGTAAAAGTATAAACTGATAAGGAAGAGGGCGCTTTCACATGAATGCTCCTTAAGGACAACAATTCTACCACTAGCTTCTACACACACACACACACACACACACACACACACACACACACACACACACACACACACACACACACACACATACACTCTCTTTTCCAAAAACACTCTTGCAAACACAGTCATTCACATATTCCCTCTGGACATATCTGCAATCAGAGCGGAAGATGAAAGAGACTCATATCTCACAGTCACTCACCCTCAATATAACTGAAGCGAGAGTAACTAATCACATGAAGCACACACACACACACACACACACACACACACACACACACACAGGAAGCGAGAGGACAACTACAGTCGTCAACAGAGATACAATCATTGCCATTCATACGAACCGGGAGCATAGCGAGAGTCACACTGATAGTGACACAGACGGTGCTTATACTTTTACTGCAGTTAAAGGATAAGGCTGGCATTATTCTACATGTTTATTATTGTCAACAAATCCCAATGCATGTCTGTTTCTCAAGACTTTTTGACCTGTCTTAGACACTCATGCCCTGTTCATGTTCTGGTAATAACGTGTTTCTGACTTGTAAATAGCGTTCTTGTTAACATTTCAGCCCCTCCCAACATTAAATGGAATGAATATAGTGTTATATTGTCAGTGCAAGTTATCTAAACCCTCACTCGACCAACCCTGCAACAATCTGTCTTGAGGTGTCTGATGAAGTTGTTAACATGGGAATCTTTACCATGAACACAGTATCAGCCCCAAGCCTGTTAGAATAATAATAATCTGTATCGCAGAGGCTGCAGTTTTTTGATAAAGGTAAAATGTGTGACAAACAGCATTATAATGAAGTACTGTAGAGCTGCTGAAATATGCTGGTCTACAAATCTTGTTCTTTAAATGTAAGATATTAGATTGGGATGCAAAAATGATCATTCCCACTAATCGTGAATCATATTTCTTTCGTTATATCAGTCAAAATAATAGCAATATGATTTTTTTTTACCTTCTCGGGCAGCCATAATTTGATAGTTGTGTCAATACAGTACATGACTTTCTGTACTGATGCCAGAATTACACACTACTTTGAGAAATATGTCCTTTTACTGACCCCCTTTGTCCCCAAATTTTACAAAAGAACTATCAGGAACTATCAAACTCAGTAACTTGAGTTACTTCAGTTCAATTAAAAATACTTTATTCCTCCCTCAAGGGGCAATTTAAGGCAAGCAAGTGTGCAAACACAGATACTTAATTTACATACATAAAGAAACTAATTCAAACATACACAAGGATTAGGATAAGGTCTAAACACAAGGTAAACTGACCATTTCTCACTGCACTGGGACTGTTTGCCAGTCTAATGCCTTCAGGCAATCTAAAATGCATTCCTGATGGCAGCAGCTTCAAGTTGTCACAGAGGACACTTGTGGGGTTGTTGATAATCTTATATGCTTTTTTGAGTACTTGTTCAGTATAAAGCTGTACCAGGGTTTTACTAATATTTTAGAACTGACATCAACAACACCTTGCTGGGGTGTCCTGATAGCTTACATGCCCCCCATGCACAAAGGTTGAGTCCTTACCGCAGTGGCCTGCTTTTGATTCCAGCCCTTTGCTGCATGTCATGCCCTCTCTCTCTCTCTCTCTCTCTCTCTCTCTCTCTCTCTCTCTCTCTCTCTCTCTCTCTCTCTCTCTCTCTCTCTCTCTCTCTCTCTCCACTTTCCTGTCTCTCTACAGCTTCTCCTGTCTAATAAATGCTTTAAAAGCCCCAAAATAATCTTTTAAAAAAACAAAACATCAACACCTTGCTGTCAGTTAAAATACTTTTGAAAAAAGAAGAATAAAACATTGTCAATATTGATTGGATTGCAACATGCAAATTAGCCCTATATGTCAGACTTTGGCTACAGGAAATGCTTGGATCAGTTCATTGTTGGTTTTGGTCTTTTCATGGGATTTGTTGCAAGAAAAATCTAGAATAAGGCCAACCTCATCCGTGTGAAGTAGACATGCTTTCTCAGTATCTTTTTTGAATGCACGTAATTCAACCAGTACGGCAAACGCTGTAAATAGTATCTGTTTGTAGCTGCTGCAGATATATGTGTGTCTGCTGAGCTTGTGTGTTTCGCCCACTCCTTCTGTCAGAGATAACAAGAGTTATCGATTGACTGCTCTGTGCTGGCACTGTGGCCAAGTGATGACACAGTGCTGCTGCGCTGGAATTAGCTTTAAAAGGGAAATGCTTTTACCGATGACTCTGGTTCTCACGCTCATGTTCTTTGGCTCTCCTTCTCCCCGTCTCTACCCCCCTCCCCCCCACCCGCAGCCGTTTGAGGCCAGTGACCTGCTGCTCGGACTGAACTTCTCAAAGGTGCTGAGCAGTCTGGTTGCCCTGAATAAAGTGACAGCAGGTTAGTCCAAATACATGTGTGAGTTACATGATGCCCGTGGGCGTTTTTTATGAAAGACGGGCGGGTAGTCATGAGTGTGTAGGCGCTGACTGCAGATACCAGGTCTGGTGTATTTATATTTTCCCCTTCCTGTTCAGATATCGGCGTGGGCAGTGATTCAGTGTGCGCCCGGCACTCTTCAGCCCATCGCATCAAGTCGTTTGAGTCGCTGTCCTGTCAGGCTTCACTGGGCCGATCCTCTAAGCTGCTGCAGAACCAGTTTCGCAGTCTGGTAAGATCAACGCACACTAACAGCACAGTTTAGGAACACAATAGGAAAGATTGACACAGTAACACCTGAATACACTCAAAGTATAATGCACATCAAATATAATGCAATACAAAGAATACTACCTCTGTGATGTATAGTTTTGAGACTGTTCGGTGGTGATGTTGTTTTATTATGGTGTTTTTGTTATTTTGCCCAACTGCAGTCCAACATATTAATAATAAACCAATACAAATCAAATGTAGTAAGTTCACTGTAGGGTTTTGGTGTGATTGTAGAAGGAAATTATTAAAGGCCTTGCACACACACACACACACACACACACACACACACACACACACACACACACACACACACACACACACACACACACACACACAGGTGTTTTCAGCTATTTCTGCTGGTCAGATCTCTGTTCAGGAGTCACCAGACTTTATGTACTATAAAAAGCTGCAGTCACATTGGATTTTGCTCCTCTCTTACAGTAATGAGGAAGGAGATATATTGGCTTTCAAACACAAACCAACACAAGTTGGCTCCTCTTCTTTATATCCTGTTTGTCTGCAGTGACTTTTAATAGAGGATAATGACAAAGTGTTTGATTTAAAAAAAGCGATGACCAGTGATTTACAACTTGTCGAATGGTGTTATCCCACAGTTCAATCCCCACGCTAATTCCTCTCCTCTGCCTCAACGCACGAGTCAATTTTGCCAGACGAAGTTCAGATAAAGGAGTAAGTTGTTCTGTTCTAGCAGGTGCAACAAAACCAACAGTGGAGTCAATCAAACAAAGTCTGTACACGTCCACACAGTCCTATGAAGAGGTCTAATTGGGCAAAATAAGTTGAAACGACCTTAGTTAAGGTCAGCACAAACACTTTATAACTTAACTTATCTTAACCAAACATTTCCTTACATTTTATAGTATAGTTGGTACAATTAATGTACATGTAATTTCTCTGGAAGAGAATTAGCAGATCATTAGTGAACAGAATAATGTGTCACCTTAGTTAAAGACTTTTCTTCCTGACTGTGTCTATACAGACAGGAAAGATGGGGTGTGAGAGAGGGGTATGACATATAACAAAGGCCCTGAGCCAGAACTGAACCAGAGACTTTGTAATTATATTATATACATTTTAACCACTAAGGCCATCAGGACGCCCACTTTATCATACAAAGCTTTGTATAGACGGCAGCCTAACAGCACTGTCTAACTATTTATATTATTGACAAGTAAATAATAATACATGGAATTTAGATTGAAAATCAACTAGCAGTTCCTTAAATGCACATAATGAAGAACAATGCAAGTTTCAAGATGACAAACCACAGCTACAGTAGTCGTTTATTCTCACTGTGATTGCATTAGTCCCACCCACTGTCTGCCTCAACTCACTCAAGCTGCATTCAATCACAGCCAGTCAGTTAAAACAACAGATAGTCAGAGATGGTAAACAGTGGAATACTGTTACTACTGGGAGGGTTTTGTTTGCGACATAGTCAAATTTCTGAGGGATGTAAATGATGAGTTATATTTCATAATATTTGTTTCACAATGGGGATGAATGGATGTTTGAGAGTAAAGCTCTTCTTGTTGACACTTGTCTTCCTACTAACTTCTGTTGTTCTCATCTGTCTTTCATCTCCTCACAATGTCTGTCTCTGCGCGTTGCTCACTTTTGGTGTTTCTTCTCTCCCCCCTCGGTGATACCCTCCCCTCGTTTGTCAGGACATGTCAGAAAACAGTGGACAGCAGCTGCTGGTGAGGGCACGTTTCAACTTCCAGCAGACTAATGAGGATGAGCTCACCTTTGCCAAGGGTGACATCATCGGTGTGACTCGTCAGGAGGACGGTGGCTGGTGGGAGGGGACGCTTAATGGCAAAACTGGGTGGTTTCCTAGCAACTATGTCCGTGAGATCAAAGGCTCTGGTGGGTACCTGAGCTACCTCAAGAAGACATTTCAACATTGAAACAGTCCAGTAGAGATTTATAGCATTATGTTTTATTTGTTTCAGCCTCCAAAACTGTCAGTTGCATCCCACATCATTTTAAATAGGTCCTCCTCCCCTGCATGTGTCAGAGTGATCACAGAGCAGCTTGAAAGATTCAATCATTTTAGAAACAGACATTTTCACATCTCTCTCAGACAAAGACTGCCAGCCGGTACACTACATCACAGTTGCCATTGTCATTGCCATTCCATCTGGCCTTTACGACGGTAACACAGCCCCCACATCTGTTGCTCCCCAAGGCCTGCTGTGGTCTGTTTTTGGACACTTGTAAAACAGGTTGTGATGCCACGTGGAAAGAGGTGGCAGATTAAAATCTGAGCCTCTGTTTGACTGATATTTATTTATTCACTCCAACTATTGAATAATCAGTTTTCTGATTGACACCTGATGGATACACATATTCATTGGTAGCAGAATTCTGTGATAATGGTGTCGCTTCAGTTCATGTCAGATCTTTATGGGGGCAAGATTTGACATGAAGGCAGTAAAAGTGTTGTTACTATACATGCAAAATAGATAACAACAATACAAACTTAATGTGAGAAAAGCAAGAAAAATAGCAATATTAATAAAAACAAATATATGAATATGAATAAGGTGAGATGAAGTGCTAAGCAATATGGGCAACCAAGGGGCAGTTTATGGTGCATTCAAATTAAGCAATTATTGCATAAATGAATGATAAACGAAATGCTGAGACAAAACAGTGGTTGCTGAAGTAATGTATTCTCGTGTTTTCTCAATAAACATTACTGTGAGTGCAATTCCCAACACACAAATGGTAAACATAAGTCTGTGGATATAAAACAGTGTTTAGATGTGCAGTAAAACAGCCACTAAAAATGTGTTTGGGACTTTGTTGTTATTGACAGCCAGTAGCATCTCCATGCTGCCAATTATTTCTAATTTTTGAATTAAGAAGTAGTTTCAACTGCGTGATTCATCTCTACAATGTGTGTCAATTATCACTGTGTGCCTATTTCTCAGGATAATAGTAATGGTTCATGCTCAAAAAGCTTGCGCTGATTTAATACCACATCAGCATTCATCCACAGATAATTTGGGAATTCGAGGTCGTGACACATTTGTAATGTATTATACACGTCTAAAGACAAAGCTAGGTGGAACTATGTGCCCTAATTCATTTCTTTTGTCTCCGGCCACAGACAAGCAAGTGTCACCCAAGTCCGGCACTCTCAAGAGTCCCCCTAAAGGCTTTGACACTTCTGCAATCAGCAAGACGTACTACAACTTGGTAAGTACACAACTCAACACTTGAAATCAGTCTTTATTTCTTTATTCTGTCTCTAATGATGATTTAATGATTCTGTCTGTTTTCTGATGCTGTTCATTAACACCTAGTTTCTATCTATGCTTTTTCCAGTAAGTATTTGTAAATACTCTACTCTTGCTGGAAAATAATTACATGGAGCACCAGGATAAAATCTAGTTTGCCTCTTCAACCACAGCTCTCTCTGAACAACCCATTGACATACTTTTTCTCTCTGCCCTGTGACTAACCTTGAAAATGTTACTGCAGCTGAGGGCAGTTGTGGTTTGTAAAAACCATTATCACAGTTACACACTCTCTGTCTCATTCTCTCGCTCTCTCTCTCTCTCTCTCTCTCTCGTTGCCAAAGTAGTTTACAATAGATTCACCTATTACATATAACATATACATAATAAATACATATGTATCACATATAGGTTCTATTTTATAGTCTACTGATGTAGTCTATCCTTTGGTTGCTATACAATACAGTATAAGATACGTGGATAGGTAGAGTAAAAACAACAACAGAATACTATGTTAATTGATATGTTAAGAAACCAAATTAAACATTGTCAATTAGCCAGCAAGTCTTATCCTATTCTGATGGGAAGAACTGGTCATCAGTGGAGAACCCATAACTTATATTTTGATCAGATATGCAGTATACACATACATGAATGGGTAATTGAATGTAATGAAAAAACTGATCAGTGGTTCATGTTCCAAACCTGTATTGTCAATTACGCCGTATTTTTTTTCTACATAATATATGAACTGCTGAAAATACTTACATATTTGGCAGATTATGTTTATGTAGTTTCTTGGATTGGATAGAAGGGACATCATAATATTTACTGTTTCTAATTTTTAAAGATTTACTTTATTAATGCTCAATGGGGAAATCATGAATTTTCACACATGGGCCCGAAATACAATCATACACACACAGGGCTTATAGACATACAAATGTGGAGAGATGGTGGAGTGATGGTCTGCCATGTAGCAGTGCTCAAGGAGCAGTTAGGGCTTAAGGGCTTGCTGAAGAGCACCTTAACAGTGCCCAGGTACCGGTCCACACTCCATACTGTGGTCCATGCTGGACTTGAACTGGCAACTCCTCCGGTTCCCAAGCCATGTCCCTGCAGTAGCTCAGTCTAAATGTATGGATTTCTAAGTCACGATCTGTGTCACTAATTCATAAAATATTTAATATCTAATAAATAATATCTAACTGTTTTTTCCCCTTTTGTATTGTAGGTTTTGCAGAACATTTTAGAAACGGAGACGGAATATTCTAAAGACCTCCAGAGCCTCCTGACAAACTACCTGCGACCTCTTCAGAGCATTGACCAGTACGACTCATTTATATATAAGAACCAGATTATTTAAGCATGAGTGTTATATAACAGGGACCTGGATTGATCAGCTTTTGTACACTTATTCAACAACAAATCTGGGTTGAGAACCTTTATCTTTTTTATTTTTGCATATTATTGAATATGTTGTCACCATTTTGCTTTTCCATTCTGTCTTTTCCTTCAGACTGAGCAGCTCAGACGTGGCTTTGATTCTGGGCAACCTTGAAGAGATCAGCACCTTCCAGCAGATGCTCGTCCAATCACTGGAGGAGTGCACCAAGTTAGTCCCTCCCCACATACACAGCCACACTGCAGCAGCACCCTCACTCTTTATATAAGCAGAGAGACATCTAGTGTTGGCCCGACTGTACTACAGGGATGTTGGATTAAGCCACAGAAAAGGGGGATATGTCATATATTGTGGTTGTAGTCCTTTTAGCTGATAGTGTACACACACACACACACACACACACACACACACACACACACACACACACACACACACATTCCACATACTTCTGCTCCAGTCTGTTTTCTTGTTTGTGTATGAGAGTTTGCACAGAAGCATTAATCAGTGTGTATTTCTTCTTCAGGCTTCCAGAGAGCTCGCAGAGGGTGGGAGGCTTCTTCCTCAACCTCATGCCACAGATGAAGGCTCTTTATGCCGGTTACTGCTCCAACCACCCCTCTGCAGTGAATGTGCTCACCCAGCACGGGTATGTTTACACATCAACTACACATTTAGTTTTGAACCTGTTTACATGCCACAGCTCACAAGGAAGGAAGGAGGGGGTTTTCAAGTTACACAGCCAAACGGCTCTTAATAAAAGCTTGAATTAGAAAATGGAAAAGGGACTGGTGTAGCTACCTTTCTGTTTGCTGGTTTTGGCAGCTATTGTGGCTTATCACTACGGACACAAAGTGCATACTCTGCATTCAGCTTTTCATTATCAACAAAACTGCAGTTGGGGCAGTATTTGTTTTTCTACAGAAAGCAAAATAATTAAGAACAGCTAAGTAAGTGCGAGGTGGTAGAGGTCCAGATTTTGGACGTAATTGGAAACAGATGCCTGCAAAAACTTACCTAAAGCTGGCATGCATAAATAGATTTTTACAAAAAGGGTCCCAATTAGACCCTTATACACCCAAACAGAGAGAGAACAGAGCATTAACAAGTAGATGTGATGATAAAGAGCAGTAACTCCTGTCATATTTCCCTGAACTTAACACTTTACCGCTCAACATTTTCTGAAAATCGAAAACTGAAAATGATTACCCTCATGAAGGTTGGATTAATTGCAGGACTGGTGTGCTAGACTTTATTTGTTTTAGCTAGGTAGACCCAATAGTCAAGAGTGCATTTTGTGTCTTTCAGTCAGTGTTCTTACGGGTTCTCTATGTCAGTACAGTTTTCATGTTTTTGGTATATGCTGTTGTAGCTTTTTGACACATTTTCAAAAATCATAATTTGACTGAGCCAATAAGAGATGAGATAACTAACAAAAACATTTATTTTCTCTCTTTTCTTCCACTTGCAGTGAGATATTGGGGGAGTTTATGGAGGGGAGGGGTGCAGTCAGTCCTGGGATCCTCACCCTGACCACAGGCCTCAGTAAACCCTTTATGAGACTCGACAAATACCCCAACTTACTCAAAGAGCTGGAGAGGCACATGGAGGTGTGTAGCTCAACGTCTGTCTGGAGCACTGGTGTTATGATGTGTGTCTGAATACCAACATGCTTCCTTTTTGTTTTTGTTTCAGGAGATTCATCCTGACCGGCCAGACATTCAGAAGTGCATGGCGTCTTTCAAAAATCTCTCTGTAAGTTGACCTGACTTCCTCTCCTGTCAGATGTTGCATGTAACCGGACTGAATGAAATGAACTAATAGAAGGTCTTAAAGCAGTTATTTGTTTCCATTGTGTCAGGCTCAGTGCCAGGAAGTGCGTAAGCGTAAGGAACTGGAGCTGCAGATCCTCACCGAATCCATCCGGCTGTGGGAGGGGGACGACATAAAGACCCTGGGCTCTGTGCTTTACATGAGCCAGGTCTTAGTCCAGAGTCCTGGCTCAGAGGTACTACAATTGCATCAAGTTTATGTTTATCAAACACACATTAAGGTAAATAACATTTGTCTAATAAGTACAAAACTTCATTTTAAGTGAAGAAAGGTAAAGAAAAGTAATTGGTAAGAAACACATATCTAGGGCCGCCTCATATACAGTTAACCACTGCTTTGGTACGTTATACAAAGCAAAAAATCAGCAACATAAATGACAGGGATCAACCCAGAAATCATTACTAAATCATACTTGACAGGAAAGCCTCGATCATCACCAGCTTTCATTTAAAGCCCTTTAAAACTGGGGACATGATGAATAAACGACACAGAAATGCTAAATACTTGCATGCGAATATGTTGTATCAAAACTATTCATACCATCAGCGATGCAAATTAGCAACACATAAAAATACAAAATCAAATCCATGCAGACTTACTGCAGACCAAGCGGGACAGGGACTGCAGCATTGAAAGACACACGGACAGAGAGGTCATATCCACCAGGTTCATCTCAGCTGCCTGTCGCGGGGCTCTGGTCCGGCCCGGTCCATTAAGATGTATTAATACATTGAAACGCTGAAGTCACACAATATAAACAAACTAACTGAGACAGCGGTAGACTAGCAACTTTTAAATTATGCCGCTTTTTCACTGCGTCGTATTCGCATTCTGTGTGAAAGTACTCATGACAAAAACAACAGTTAAAAAATATATTGACGTGCAAATTAGTTGCCTGAAAAAAGGTCCTCAGTGTGTAAAGACCTTAACTATCATGTGATCATTTATTTGTAATAGGTTAACTCCCACTTAGAGTTCTCTGTGAAGGCAAAATTAATTCTTTAATTGTGGCATCTTAAGTGCACAGAAACCTTTAATTGTAAGTAGCTTTGGACAAAAGCATCTGCCACACTAATGTAATGACATTTAATGCTTTTGAGTACATGTTCTAAATTACTCCTCATTATGACACCTCTCTTTAAAAGATTTATAAAAAGTGACTTCTTTTCCAGACATTTTTCTCCATTAGGGTTCAATAGTACCTCACTAAAACTTGTCAAAGTTTATATTGTAATTAAATACTGTAATGTCATTTGCTTGACATGAGAGCATCAGTGACTGCATGCATTGTTAAAAATGGGCTGGATTATGTCAGAGATTCACGATAATGAACGGAAACCTTACAAAAATACATTCTAAAACTTTTATATCAAACATCAAGGACATTTTTCAGTGCGAACCATGGAAAACACTTTTTTGATGGTCTGTTCATATTAAATGGCTCGAAACATTGCAGTTGACTAGATAACCCCTGGGCCGTGGATCAATACCCAGCCACTGAACATTTGCTAAAAGAGAAAAAAAAAGGGTAAAAAAACCTTAATAATAATAATTGTATAACTTTATAGGCTCCTGCAGATATAACATTAACCGTTCCAAGTTCCTTCTGTGCTGCATGGTTTCCCATCACAGATCTGCTTGTGCTCCGTTCTCATTACTGTTGCAGCTAATTAGCAATGATGAGTAAAAAGCACAGTGCGTTTGAGAGGTGATTGAAAGACTTTCTTCAGAGGATGTAGGGGAAATAAAAGAAGTAAAGTGTTTTATAATATTCAAACGTTCAACTTCTAGCTTTAAATAATATTTCTGTGGTGATGAATTCCTAGTAAAATGCATAATGGAGTGACAGCTTGTGGTTCGCTGTGGTTGAATTAATGCTACATTAAAAGTGCGCTTTAGGGAACAGTACTGTTCTTTTGACAGTTGTTATGCGTATACGTACAGTGATATAAAGGGCTGATTAGTTACAGGAACTGTGAGCCTGATGATGCGTGAAAGTTTGTAAAACTGCGATTTTACAACTGAGACATCAACAACCCATAGCTTCTCCCCAGATAGTTCACACTAATGTAACGTTTCTGTGAGATGGTCTGAAATGGTTTTATCCATAATTGAGTGTTGATATACAAACTGGATTACACTGTTTTATTTTTGCGCATTCACGCTCTCCATTTGTCTCCATTTCTTTCCATTTCTGTCCCATTCTTGAACCTTTGTCAGGAGAAGAGTGAGCGTTACCTCATGCTCTTCCCTCACGTCCTCCTTATGTTGTCTGCCAGCCCCAGGATGAGTGGCTTCATATTCCAGGTGAGTAATAAACATTTACTCATATAAGTCTTTCTTATTCCCCCCTCTAGTGTTTAACCCCTAGAGTTCTGTACTTATTATAGGGGATGAAAGATTTCTCTGTTACATCTTGATTGTGACTTGATGTAATGATTTCCCTCTGCAGGGAAAATTGCCCCTGGCCAGCATGACAGTGACCAAACTAGAAGACTGTGAAGCCCATAAAAACGCCTTTGAGCTCAATGGTAAGGCCAAATAAGATAAGATGAGATCAGATAAGATAGACTTTATTGATCCCACACTGAGGAAACTCACTTGATACAGCAGCGCCAGATAGAAGACAGCAAATAAGAAATAAAATAAATGAACATTAAATAACAAAATAAAAATAGAAAAATACAAGATATAATGGGAAAAAAAATCGAATTAGAATTAGGGTTGTATGTATGTAGATGTGCAAGATGCTGAGTGGAATTCATTTACACATAATGCCTTCAACAACATTGTCTCTGTCCCTGCAGGCCCAATGTTTGACCGTCTCCAGGTGGTGTGTGCCCACCAGCAGGACCTGCAGGACTGGGTGGAACACCTGACCAGACAGATCAAACACACTGCAGCCACAGCACCCAGCCACAAACCACTCACTGTTCCCTGCCACACGGTCAGGAGCTAATGATTACATACCCACATACAGATGATTTTCTTTCAGTTTATTTATACCTAATGTGATGTAAACACTGTGAATATGTATGTTGATTTTTTTTTTAACATGTGAACCCTTAAATCAGCGTGGCGTTAGAGGCTGGCTTACATAATGCCTAGCAATCATTCAAAATTACTACATAGCCCTGTGTAAAGTGGCTCATTTCTCTCACTAGAATGGCTCAATGGTTTAATAAAATGAATACAAATACATGATAATCAACATTCGGCCTTATGCCTTGAATAAACAATCAACAATAATGATAATTCGATTTACAATAGGCCACTTATACGTTGGCGGCTGCATCGCGGCAAGTGGTAACTGTCTGAGAAAGAGTTATAAATCTATCAACAGTTAAGGGGAATGTAATCTATGATTTAGGCTTATTAAAAACAGCGAGGTGTCACATGCAGGAGGCTTCCCTGTAGAGGTATTTTTGGTCATCTGACCCAGGGGCTGACCCAAGACCCTTATGCCGTCTGGCTGAGGTGTATGGGATTATACATATCTGGGTTACTGAGACCTGTGTTGCACCCCTGCCTAGTTTTCTGCCACTGTGACCCTAAACTGGTAGGAAGCCAAAAAGATTGATGGAAAATAACTGTTTAGTGTATTTTACATACAAATCTTTCCATTCTATCCTGGTTGTTCTTGAGCTGAGCGATATACTTCTTAAATTTGCAGCAATTTGTTTTAAGGCCACTAGGGCTCAGCAGAACAGGCTGCGAGCACAACACTGACATATACAGGATTATCACTTTATAAGTTAACAAGTTATATAAGTTGTTTTGGTGACAGTGTGAGTAAACAGTTGCCTATTTATACATCCAGCAGATGCAGAGCAACACTACTATACATTTAGTGTTGTGTTTGAAGCCATCTGTTGAATTAAAAACCAATATTCACTCTCCGTTTAGCTCTGTTTTGGTCTCCACCTATTCCTGAGGATAATATGCAGCTCTTCAGCAGCAAGTGAGAGTAAACCAAAACAGTAAAGTTGCATTACGTTGCTGCTTTTGTTTTGTTCCTCAGCTCCCATCTCACCCTCTCACCCCATCCCGACATGCTGAGGGGAGGGCCATGACAGTGGCTCCCACCTACCACACACTGCCTCACCCCTCCTCCCATGGGACATCTCTTTCCAGTACTATGATGTGGGGCCCATTGGAACCACCGAACACCCCCAAACCCTGGAGCCTGAGCTGTCTGCGGCCTGCACCCCCTTTACGACCCTCTGCCGCCCTCTGCTACAAGGAAGTGAGGGACCGTGTTTTTATGTATTCAAGACGTCCCTGTATGTTTTTGTTCTGTTGATTTTCTAATTGTCTCACCTTTTTCTGCTGACCCATGTACAGGATCTTAGTAAAAGTCCTAAGAGTGTGAAGAAACTCCTTCCTAAGCGCAAGCCTGAGAGGAAGCAGTCTGAGGAGGAATTTGCCTTGAGGAAGAGTATGTTTAAAATCCTTATTATCCATGTCCAGAGTTTGTGCTGAACTCAGTTAAACAAAAAAAATACTTCTTTTAATATTAAAGGAACAGTTCGACATTTTGGGAAATAGCTTATTCACTTCCTTGCTCATATCTGTCCATTAAGTACAGTATAAAGACATAGCCTGGAGACAGTTAGCTTAGCAGGGAAAATGTCTCTAGCTTCATACCTCGCTCTGGGCAAGAAAGCAAAACGGCGTACTTCCCAAAACGTAGAACTTTTCTTTATTGTTTATACATAATTTGTGCATTTAAATATCTGAGTGACATGAGCATGTAAATTGATTTTTTTTTTTATTCTCTTCTCTTTTTCAGGTACAGCTGCACTGGAAGAAGATGCCCAGATCCTGAAAGTTATTGAGGCATACTGCACCAGCGCCAAAACCAGGCAGACTCTCAACTCCAGTAAGAAATCACTAAGTCTTACTTATACTGAACATGTGCATGCACAAAAGAAGAGAGGCTCATACTGGAGCTTGCTGTCCTTGTTACTGCTGTACCTTTCTTTAACACTGGTATTCTGAACTGATCTTTCTAACAGTATCTTCTCCTTCTGTCTGTCTCTCCTCCACTCCTCCCTTTTTTTCCGGTTTACCTCGAGTTTCTTCTTTTTCTCATCAATGTTTGTTTTCTCCATGCTGCTCTATAATTTTCTCCATGTGTTATGATTTCGCTCCATCATCCCATCCTCCACACCTCACGTTGCTTTTTATGATTTACCATTCGTTGCGTGTTGCATTACGTTACCTCCACCCTCTGCACCATCACTCCTCTTTCTCGCCCGCCATTTTCCTCCTTCTACATTCGCAACATCTCCGCCAAACTTGGCTCGCCCCGACCAGCCTGGCAGGGCACTGACCTGATGCACAACCACGTGCTGGCTGATGTGGACCGGTCCTGTATGGACTCGCCGGGCCGCCGTAGCAGCGTGTCACGGCCAGAATTGTCCTCTGATCTTTCGGAGGACTCTGACTATGACTCCATCTGGACCACCCACAGTTACAGGATGGGTTCAGTGCCGCGTAAGAGCTGCATCTCTCACCAGAACTAAAGAACGTACAGTACTGCCACGCTGTACTGTAATGTAACGTACAGCGCGCTTACCTCTTTTACCTTCAATGTATTAAAAGATTTTTTTTATTTATGTATTTATTTTCTATGATATATTTGTTCATTTTTTTGTTAACTTATTTGGTTTATTTATTTTTAGACTGTTTGTTTTAAGATGTTTTAAGCATCTCCCTGTTGCCTTGCCACTTTCCCTTTTATGTGCCTCCTCTCTTTGTGTAGTTGTCATGCAGTAAGTGTTTGGTAATTCTTGTTAATTTATCTTGAATGTGACCACTCCCCTTGTTTGACCATAAATGTGGCGGACTCTCTCAGCAGGGAGGACAGGGATGTTGGAGTGGTATATAGGGGAGGGATAACCAGGGGAGGGAGAAATGGGGACTGAGCTTTTCCTGTCTGATATTCAGATGTAATTCAGGAACGAGTGTATTCTATTTACCATGTACTACTTCTCTCCAGTATGTGTTTCTAGAGTATGTATGCTCAAACATAGCACAGATGCCATACACACACGCACAGGTTCGGGCGCACATGTCCCTGCTGCCTGATAATATGCAGCATGCAAATGAAATATCCAAATTCTTAACATTTTATATAATTTCTGTTTTCATACTTTGGATCTTTTTTCATGTTGCCAGTGCTAAACAGGATTAAACTGAACATACCACATAACCAAAAGCTACTAAAATACAAAAAAAATCTTTAGATATAATAGTTTGTGAAACACAGTTCATTATTTGATGTAGCTGCTACAGAAAGAGGAGATTATCACAGACATTTCACTCTCAAGTCAAGCTTGTAGAAGTGTGAATTTAAAGGGTCAGTTCACCCGAATTACAAAAAACACATTTCACACTTGTTTCAATTTCTGCCTGAACTCCAAAACAATCAAAGTGAATGCAGTTTTCATTGAGGTGCTCACAGCTTTGAAAAATACACCAATGTGTCTTTTTAGAATCAGTGTCCCCATTACTCTATACAATCTAAAGACCTCACTGTCAACAGTTTAAATTCAGACTACTTCCTGTTGAAGATATTGGCACTATGGAAACTGTTTACAATAAGGATTAATGTTCAATCCTGTGAGCACCAAACTCTCAATCCCAGTTAACTCTATTGTAATGTTGTGGATGCAGACATTGCTGAGACTAACCTGGACCTCTTTCTGCAACACTAGATACCATCTCTGGAGTTAAGTGATAGAAGGTTTTTTTTGTATTTTTGGTGAACCGAACCTTTAAGTCATTAATTTTAATAATTTCCTGTATTGTGTAGTCTCCTAAGCATCATCCTTTAAAGCCTGATCTTCCATCCAGTAATGTTGCTGTCTGTCAGTGGTTCTACAGGGTTGCATTTACATTTTGTTTTAAACCTCAAGTTAGTGCATTAATAATACAATAATACAAAATATAAAGATTCATTTAAACCAAGCATGGCATACCAACCGAACACTAACTAATAAATAAACACAGCTACAGTCCTGTAATGAAAATCAAATGCCTTTTGTTTAATGTCTCCTGCTAGTTCAAAGAAAGGTTTGACATTTTGGGAAATTAACCTGGAGCCGGTAGCAGGTTAGCTTAGCTTACCGCACATACTGGAAAATATATGTTCATTGAGCTTTAGAGGTGGTCGTAGATGGAAGCCAGGCTTGTTGTTTCCCCGTATCTAGTCTTAATGCTAAGCTAGGCAAAACAGGTCCTGACTCCAGCTCTATGAGTAACACACAAACATGAGATTGATACTGATTTTCTTATCTCACTCATGGAAAAGCAAAACAGTATAATCAATCTTGTTGTTATGTATGTGGCAACAGTGCGGAAAACCCTCTCTTTAACTACCTTTCTTCAGCTTCCAGTCTTTATGCCAAGCTAAGCTAACCAGCTGCTAGCTCTAGCTTTATATATCCTATACAGACATCGAGAAAGAGAATAACTTCCCAAAGTGTTCAACTATTCCTTTAAGCTGTAGCTGTTATTAGACTGACAATTTGACCAGGTTAGCGTAATGCCGAAAGAAACATCTCCTGTGTCACAACAAACTAGCACCTATGTTACGGCCTCATAAGCCAGACATGCCTTTGTGTGTCGGGCTTGTAAGGTTTCCCATGCTATCTCTTGCATTAATTCCTATTTTTATGAAGAAGTATTTTTCCAGGTGTTTGGTAATAAAAGTACAGGTTGGCATCCACTTAGAGCCTATCTTAACAGCAAGCAATGCGAATGACATGGGGTCCATGTTACAGTACTATTTACTGTTTCTGAAATGATTTCTTTATTGTATTCATTATTTTGTATACAGGCGTTTTTTTATTTATTTATATTTTATTCTGTATGTCAATGTTTACAAAATGATCCCTGGAAGAATCATTGTTTTTTTGTTTTTTTGTTTTACATTTTATTGGTCTGTATCAAAGTTTACACAGAAAATTATAACATGAAGTGTTTGAATTATTTTGCACAATCATGTAACGGGCCAGAGGGTGTGGGGGATAGAATCTGTTAAATTCTGTACTTTTTGTCGTCTACCTACAGTGTGTATGATATAGTCCTAAAGGTAGACTTGAGTATTCAGTGTTACTGTAAAGTAAATGCTCATTCGTAGTGTAAATGCTCACCTTCGATGTTTTTGAAAGCATTGGGGTACAAAAAAAAGAAACAAGAGACCGTGATTATACGGGAACATTTCTATGTGAAATACTCATTCAACCTCAGAATACTGTCAGAGTGGACTTGAAATATAAGAGCACATAGTCTCCCTTTCTGTAAATACTAGTTGTCATGGAGCAAGAAAAAAAAACCATTCTATCTTCTATGAGTATTTGAGCTAAGAATATCACTGTCCTTATATCATGTGCTATACTTTGTGACAGGTGTATTCTGTGGTTTAAAAAACGAAGTCAAACTGTGGGACAGGCAGGGTGAAGAGACCAACTATCTTTGACCAACATTGTCCTCTGTGTGCTCTAATGCTGTATTCAGTTCACACATGTGACCATGTCTTATCTAACAGCGCCGTCAGTGTATTTGTTCTACACTGCTGAAGTGTTCAAGTCCCAAACGCTGTATTATGAGTTTTGAATAAATCTGTCATTTGGTAGACACTGGCATTCTGGTGATTTGTTAGAACGGCAAATCTGGTTGTTTTCGTGTGTGTGGTCATTTGGGGAAGATGGTGGAGTCATTCATTTCAGATTGACAGAATTTTAATGTGCATGAATGAATGGATTTGTGTGTTGTTGTTTTCTTTGGCAGATATCTCCACAGCCTCTCATTTCCTTTCACTTTCCTCTGGCTTTTGTCTGATATCTGTTCTGTGCATGACTAACAGACTAGTACTACAACAAACTGTGGTGTGTGTTTGGTTCTCTTTGATGCTGTCACTCGTTCCAATAAAGAAGTTGACTTTGAGTTTGAAAAATGAATTTACTGAAGATGACTGGGTGCTGACTAGGTGAGACAAAACAAAGTACCAACCGTTGAGTGATCTTCTGTTTTGAAACAGGGCCGCTAACGGAAACAGGGCTGCATGTGATCATCCCCGGTGAGAAGAAAGTCCTGGTTGAGGGTCCCACTCGCAACGGCCAAAGTGCAGTGGAAGAAAAGTAAGATAATAGATGAACCTCTTTCTCACACTTCTCCTTTGCCCTAAATCACTCCCATTACATAAAAAGACCAAAACCAACTGTGCGCTAGTACACTGCCCTGTCTGTGGCACTCAAACTGAAGGCCATTTGTTACTACTGAAGAATTAAATCTTTAAAAGGGGTCACAAATGTGTAACTTATAAGGCTTTTCTGACACAGCAGGGCATTGTATATTGTTGCAAACATTACTCATACAGGAGTAAATTGTGCATTTATTGGACTATTTTTAGCTGCGGATACATACATGTGGTAAAGAGACATTGGAGTAATGGTGCCCTGTGTGTGTCACACTTCCTCTGTGTGTTGTGTGTTGTCTTTGTTTTGGTAGCTGGTTCAGGCGTTTGCTAGTGTTCCAAACATTTAATTGAAACCATCAAACCATAGATAACCTAGAGAATATTTTACTTGATGTTTTAGTTAGCTAGCGTTGGCAAGTTAATAACTATTTTACATGGATTTATGTCACTCTGCAAATCAAAGAAATAGCTCACTAAGCTGAATACGTTACTAACGTTACTAAAATAACTTAATACTGTAAAAATCAATAATCCAACCAACACAATAATAGTCTTAATGTACTTCCTCATAACGCCAAAGCGCTCATTTGTTTTGGTCTGAGATGCTCTAGTGCTACATCTAGTGGTTCTGAATGTCATATAAAGCACCTTCAAGATAGACTTGAAAAAATGTGAACCTGTTCTTTAATATCTGTTCTTCTTCTTTAATATCACTGATCACTTGACCTGTGAATGTGGTCATCTTAAAGGAGCCTGGTGGATGTAGTGTACGCCCTGAGGGATGAGGTTCAAGAGCTGAAACAGGTGAATGTTTGGGATGTTTTATGAAAGATTGTAATGATGATTTATATAATATATGACTTTCAGTTCAAATTAGTTTAACGCAGATCTTAAAATTGTTAACTGAGTACAGAGAAGGCATGTTGTTAGCCAAGTGGAATTAAATTAGTTTGTAATGATACCTGATGATAAATCTGTTTTACAACATGAATGACAAGATTGTTTTACCCTACAGGATAACAAGAAGATGAAAAGGTCACTGGAGGAAGAGCAGAGAGCACGCAAGGATTTGGAAAAGGTTGTGAGGAGAGTGTTAAAGAGCATGAATGACCCAACATGGGATGAGACAAACCTTTGAGGATCGTGTGGACCATCTCCATCTGAAGCTTTGAACAGAGAAAGAAAGAGCATGTATATGTGTGGGCTTGCTTGCACTGTGTGTGAGCTGCGTACAATCACACATGATTTAAAGGTTGGTTGTGTGAGTGAGAGAACAAGAGTGAGTCTATAAGCAGGTAGTTGTGTATTTGCTCTAAGGTGTACTGTGTCTTTACTGCCCTGCTGGCAAAGAGATGGTTCTCACTGGGACGTGATGCTGAGCAGTCTTGATCATCTATTCCACGATAACATTCCTTGAACACCAAGCAAGATGGTGAGGAGATTACACACTCAACCGTCGGTGTGTCTACTTCACAACAGTGACCAGTGTGGTTGGAAGACGAGAGTCCTCTCCCTCAGTTTACAATCATTTAACAGTACGCTGTCCAATGGTACATCAATGGTACTTTAATGGTGTTAATGGTCACAAAGGCCTTGGACTGGTCTGAACTTGAACCATTTCATTTCATAACTTCTCTTATGTTATTTAATTTTTATATGAATTGATTTTGTTCTGCTTCTTTCCCTGACACAGGCTTGGCCTGGTGTTTTTAGCTTGACGTTAAGCTTGTGCCTGGAAGCTCATCTTTTGTGTTTGTTTTATTGTTTTGCCTTTTGTTTGTCCTCTTTATTGTTTGACCTCTCATAGTTTGACTTTCCTTCTAGGCATCCTAGGGAATTGTACAGATATTGACTTGTACTGTATAATGTAAATACTGCTAAAAATGAGCCTTTGAAATAAATGTGGTTTTAGAAGAATGACTTTGACTTGCTGCTAAATCTGCTCCAAAACTACAAAGGAACAAGGAACCTCTGCTGTCTTTGCCTCTCAGTTACACACACACACACACAGAGAGAGAGAAAGAGAGACACACAAAAGCACTGAGGCTGGATTACCAACTTGGCAAAGCAGGCAACTTCCCCGGGGCCTCAGATACCCAGGTGCCCAAACAAACCTCAGTTTCACTGTTTGAATTGGTGATATATAATCTGACTTACTGCAAATTTGCAGTACTTACATTTAAATTAAATATATTGTTTTGAGGTGGGTAAATATCACCTAATTTTGTGGCCCTGTCTTTCAAAGAGGCCCTGTATCAAAATGTAGTTTTAAGGCATTATTTTAGCTTATTTCATACTGACATGGAGTTTGTTGACTAAATAACTTGTATTTAATCAAACTGACTCAAACACACAGAAAACTTTACAACATCATTGGTTAAGGTATTTCATTGTCATTTTATAACGCAGCATTGTATAATGAAATTCAGGTTGTTGTTACCTTTATGCTCCTCACAAAATATATGTACAAAAATTATATCCAGTAAAATGATGGTCTTATTGGGAACATGAAATGTTTTTTTAAAACCTTAGATTGTTTTATCTGAAGGATAAGGAAGTCCTAACAATAAGTATCTAATCTCAGCTATTTTAAAGATAACAGTAAATGAAAATAGATTGTGTGTAGTATTTTGTTCTTTTTCTGATACCTTTTTAATCTTTTTTTAACCTTGGGACCTTATATATACTGTCAATGCATGGGACCAATTTGACACATTGTTGTGGCTTAATATTTAACATTATTAATATTGTGAGTATTATCAGTTATAAATCCCAAGAAGTGTTAATACATGTCTTTAGAAAGTATTGACCACACTCTTAGACCTTTTTAACAGACTTATTGTTTTTACAGCGCTTTAATGTCTGTTAATAACTCTCATAACACAGAAGGTAGGAGGAAAACCCGAAGGTCAGTGAGTCATTTTATCAGTCACTTTAGGTAAAGAGTGTTTGGCTTATAATGTTTGAGCTATTTGTAATGGTAATGTGCTGATTCTAAAAACCAACCCCTCTTTTTGATGTAAACATTATACAACAGCTGATGGTGAAGTAGTTCCAACTGTAACACCGGGGTTAGTTAAACTGTTTCCGTCGGCCATGTTTGTTTCGTGTCTAAGCTAAAGATTCAACTTTACCACCGCCGGTGCTCACCTGATGCTTCACAAACAAGCCTTACCTGTTGAAGTGTGTTTATTCCGTGCTGTAGCCAGTACCTCTGCACTCAGCCATTGCCACGTGACCTGTCAGTCCAAGTTTAATCCAAACTAGAAGAAGAGAGGAATCAGATTCAACAATTTCAGCACCTTTTCCCCCCAAAACAACTCCTCAACTCCAATATCAGTGAGTGAAGAATCTGCTGCTGAGACTTTGTTCTACAGTTTACTCTGTTGTAGTGATGCTCAACTGCAGATTAACACTACATAACATTTCAGAAGAGATATTTTCAGTTTTATTTACTTTTTCATAGCTGACATTTTGATATATTATAGCAGGAAAAGCACAGGTGTAATTAATGTAAATGATGTCTGCATTACATTGCGTCACTATCATGGTTTACTTAGCAAAGACATGGTTAACAGGTTGTTTTTTTTATGTATCAGTGCTCATGGGCTGCTTTGTTTTGTATTTCTATGTAATTATTGTGTGTTGTTTTGAGATCTGCAATTCTCAATGAATGGGCATGCAGCGTTCGCGATTTGTGCACACCCCCTGACAGTTGGCAGTTGAATGGATGTAGGAAACACCCACCCGTAGCAATTTTTCCATTCAGTGACAAATAAGTTATGAAAAGGCCTATACTGGTTATATTTGGTACTAGAGGCAGTGATAGCTTAATGAAGTCTCTCTTGCTTCCTCTCTCTCCCTCCCCTCCTGTCCAGGGTTCTGTGTTTGTATGTAGGTTATGCTTTTTTAACCCACAGCCCACCCACCCACAAACAGTTGCCTATTACACATCAAGCAGACATGGATCAACATTAGTATTTATATTATTTAGTATTAATGGACTTGTGTTTGAAGCCCCCCGACAAATTCAAAGTCCAATATTCACTCTACTTTTAGCTCTGTTCTGGTCCACACCAACTCCTGAGGTAATCTGTATCTATTAAATGCTCCACTATGCCCACCAGCTAGTTGCTTATTGTGGCATACAGTGGATTTATCAGGGCTTTTTCCCTGTCTGCTGCTGCTGGAAACAAGGCTGCGTGAAGAGAGTGAACCAGAACACTGAAGTAGTGGGCCACAAAACAAAAACATTGAGCTGAAAGGAGCTACAATACTCCAAGAGCTGACAGGACTGCAGAGTTGAGTTAATATATCTGGATTTGTCTCCACAAGCAACACCTTTTCACATTAGGTGATTATAAAGTATTGTTAGTTTAATAGGCTTAAATTAAAGCAACCACACACTTATGGTCCACCCATACAGGTGTTAATCT